CCTACTTCGCAAAATTATTTAACAATATTCACATATACAATCGAATAAAGAAGTGTGTAAAGAACTCTTTGTTCATTGATGGCAAGAATTGAATAGAAGTCAACTTTTATATTTTATAGTCGAAGTACATTTTTTCCAAACAACAGGCTAAAAGATTCACATTAACCAGAGCTTTAGCGGTTTACGAGCGCGGGGAGCGCCGAGCGACGCGCCCACTTACATATAGTGGCTCGTCTCTATTTTAAGCCAAGAGTGAATTTCAACAAGGATTTTCGCTAGCGTTTTAAAGTGACAAAATCCGTAACTTTATTATTTTTTTTTAAATTTCTATTTTCGTCAATGTTTTACGTCCATTGCAGAGTCGCGCCTTTGTGCTGTTAGACACTGTGGACAGGCTGCTCCGTATTTTTTCATAGCGCACAAAACAAAGCACAAAAAAAAGTAGTTCAAATATAAAGGATATTTGAACTACTTTTTTTCAGTGCTTTTCGATTCATGTTTCAATCAACTATCGTATACGACACTATGTTTAAATATGTTTGTTTTACTTTTTCCGAAATTTCCGAATGGCAGCTCGTTCACAAAGCACCAGACGAAATTGACTTTAGTATTGTTTTAATTAAAAAATCAATGTCAACTCGTTCCCTACTCGCACCAAACATGTTTTAAAAACAATATTGGGAAAGAACTTGGAGCGCCTCATTCGGTCGAACCTTTCAACAGGGAAAATGAAATATAAATAAAGAAAGTGGTATTCTTTAAAGTTTGTTAAAACGAAGCCGACGCGACCGCGGCGCTCGCTGAATAGAATCCACCTCGGTATGTGTGATGGTTTTTGATTGGAAACTCTATTCGCTTTATATCCACAGTCTCTCGAAACCTCTGAAAGAAATGAACATTTGACGGCTGGCTCGTTTTAGTGGTTTTGTCATTTTAACTGACAAATTCACCGTTTGAAAACTGAGATACTTCGATGAATAAGAAAATACTTTATGTTTCTGTGGGTAACTGTTGAACTGACAATTTTAAATACGATATAAACTTTTTTTAAATTACTTATAATAATCCTTTCTTTTGTGAATTATTATATGTAGGTAACAAATAATAAAATAATTGTTTCGCGAATAGGCAGAAGTACATAGAGCCAACAGAGAAAAAGTTAGTGGATATTTCATTTTCAATGCGTGTACCGCTTATAAAACTTTTTAGTTGGGAAGATGTGACGTTGAGATTGAGATGTTGATATATATATATATATATATATATATATATATATGTGTGTGTGTGAACATACACTATGTAGTATTGTAGACTACGCAACAAATTGTATTAACTAGTAATAGCTGAATGTATCATCTTATCGAGATAGAAGCGCCAGCTTCCAGAATTAACCTACCATACTATGGTAGGAAATCTTGGTATAATTGTTTGATGCTCCTTTAAATATTCTTTCTGATCTGGAAGGCTGCATTCTGACAGTTTAAATTTGATGTTATTGTCGGCATAGCTTTCGATCCAACCTCTCAAGCCGAACCATTCAATCGTACTTTAATTATTCAGTGATCTAAAGCGAGACTTGTCATTTTACTATTCCTATTTTATAACTTGAATTGTCTCATAAGTATACTTTGGCCCCCGTGTACGTTCCTAGATACCTTTATCTCTTTCCAGTCGGCGTATCTTAATGAAAAAGTTGAGATTTTTATCGTTTTTATTTAGAAAGTAAAATTTCCTGTGACAATTATTGTACCAAATAGAATAGAAAAAAATATTGTACCAAATAGTCACCGGTGTTTGTTCATCAGATCCAACTTACCAACATATATTTTAAAGTATTTAATTTACACATAAATTACTTTTACAAAAAATGTTTTAGAATAATTAATCCTTTACAAGAACTAAAGTACACCACGTGTAGAAGTTGCAGTAAATTTTATCTGTGGCGAAGGATCGTTTAGCGACTCTGTATTCGTAATAAAAAAAACGATTAAGTTTATATTATAACTGTGTAGAGCGTACAATAAAACACGTACACGTGTTCTAAAATTCCTTTTCTATTTCAAAGAAAATGTATACGAAATATATTCGTGTAATGTAATAGGAGTGTCGTAAACTAATGCTAATCCGTGGACATTGATTTGCCAATATTAAAGAAGGCCCTCGAATTATGAAAGAGATAGATATTTTATAACAAAAAAATCTTTTAACTTATTAACAAATAAATCTTTGCGCGGGAAAGCCCTATCAGCGGAATACAGAAACACTTTTACGCTTTCCGCGAGATTAATTGTATCAATTTTATGCATTTAGTTTAATATCGTATTTTATTAAAACATATATGGTAATATGTTAATATTAGAATTCATAATTAATAAAAACCTATAACGAAATATGGAGTAAAATAAAAAAAATATAGTGTCGTTAATAAAATCAATTGTTCTTTTTTATTTATTTTATTGTAATAATAATTACAGATTACAGTATACGCGCGCATACTCAAGGGAGTCGAGAGTGGTGTGGTAGAACAGGCATTATCAAATGACAGTCCATATACGTCAAGACACCGTTTGCCGTAAAAAGACGAGTCGGTTATACTGCCTAAGCGCGTCTATATATGTTTCACATCAAAAATCTGCCGAATTGAGAACCTCCTCGCTTTTGAATTCGATTAAAACTAGCATCCTGGCGGAAAATAGAAAACTGGCTTGTAGAGGCGGAAATTAAATTTCCATGCAGTTCCCGATAACCGGTTAAAACAATTATTGCTAACGGACGACTCGCTCTTGGCCAAGATGTCTCACACCTTGTACTCGTAATGCTCGCCATCTCGGTGGCTTTGATATTACGCTATGACATAATTTCGTATCAGTATCCTGAAGCCACAATCTCCGCGCCACCCCGCTATTAATCATGTTATTCGTGTAGAAATTGATATAGAAAAAACATAAGAATCTATTATTTTAAGAAAACTTTCGCTTAAACTTAAATAATATTATTGTTAAAGTTACACCGGAGTTGAATTCAAGAATAATATTGAAATAATCTTGCTGTAAAATCTAATGCTTGTAACATATTTAGAGCATTTGTAGAGGGACTAAGTCCTCCCGAGGCTACGTTCAGCACGCTCGAAATCCCATACGATTTCAACGCTTGTAAAGCCCTGAGGTAGAGGAGATAAACCTAAATAAATGCGACTGGCTGTCACTACCTTCTGGTGAATATCCTGAGCATAGATTGGGAGCAAATAATAAGCCATTTTATCTTCCTAAGTCGATGTAGGATTGATCTTATATTTACTAAACTTTAAATGAAATGAAATAAAACTTTATTCAATTAGACTTATCAACCGACTTCCTCAAAAAGGAGGAGGTTCTCAATTCGGCTGTATGTTTTTTTTTATGTTTGTTACCTCAGAACTTCGTCATTTATTAACCGACTTGGACAATTTTTGTTTTGTTTGAAAGTGTTTACTACCAGATTAGTCCCATTTAAATTTCAAAAAAAATACCACTCCTGAGTGTGGAAAAATAGCTAATAATGAATTTAACCTACTTCTAATTGTCATATTGACTTGAAACTTTGAAATTTGAAATTTATTTATTTAGTATCAAATTCCTATAAGTATACAGTAAACAACAATAGCTACGATGATACTGCAAAAGTATAAACTGCGTTGCAGATATCAACATTTAAACTATTTTACTCCGTACAGTATTTAAACTATTTTATAAAAACTAAAAAACAATAAGATGATTATGATGTATGTGTGAGTGTGTGTGTGTGTGTTGTGTGTGTGTATGTGTATATGTATGTGTGTGTATAAACTTTGCAAGTGTTTCTATTTCCGTTGATAGTGCAGCGGTTTCGTATCGTTGACCTGATCTAATGGTAAGGCCAGAAGGTGGATAGGTGGAACTCTTCAACGCTAATATTAGATACTTTGAGTTTGGGCTTATTTTGTTTGATTTGTTTTAATTTTTTTACAAGCACTTTTGAATCGTCAATTTAATTTAAGCGTCAGTGTAGTTAGTCCGTGAAGAAGCAACCACAGGCTCGAAAAGCAGTTCTACTTAGAAGAGCCGGCAAGAAACTAAACAGTTGCTGTTTTAAATATCGAAGTTATATTTATTTTATTAACATAACAAATTAGATAGCCCGCATATGAGTCAATATTTCTCAATCCCACACAATATTAAGAAATCTAAATCGTAATAAAAAAAATTCTGACTGGCTGAGTGAAAGTCGAGAATTTAAGTTAGTCATTTCTAATAAGTAAGTTCTGTGGACAATAAGAGTATGCTAGTTGAGGAATATTTAGCGCAAACACTCGCAGCTCAAACACGTAGTATATAGGTATATAGGTCTTGTAGCGACAGATCGCTCCCCGCGAGTGGCTATCGCTACTACCACTATATAAGGCAAGAAAAATCTTAGACATCAAGTACCGGTTTTGAATTTAATATCCCACAGTTCATACTTCATATAGCCGCGGGCAATGTTTATTTCAATAAGATTTTCCAAAAAAATATTTAATGTACAGATTCGGCTTAGTTACAATTTTATTATATGTATAGATTAAATAAAAACTTGGACTACTTCCTTGTAAATTTAAAGTTCTTATATTAAAAACTTTAATTACAAAGCAGGGTTCAAATGCTCTTATTTAAACCATTTGAATGTTCAATGATACAGAGAATCGTTTATTTCGCTGACTGCATCTCGATATAGCTACAGATCGTTGATGTCGCTGTCCTCGCTGTATATAATAGCAGTAACTACTTCGTACTGTGAAACCGACGTTCACATTTTTAAAGTAACATTCATATAAAGTGATACATAAATAGCTTTTCGGCAATTGTGCACTGCATAGCTCCGGCAAAGAAATTAAATTATTAATTGTAATAATGATGAACCTATTCATCACGAAACTGTTTGAAACCTCTTTCCATAAGATAATTATCAGCCAGTCAAAGTTCTGAAGTTATTTTTGTAATTTACAGCCGAGCTGGTTAAGAACGAAAGAGTTTTGGGACAAGTCCTTTGAAGACCGCTACGAGAAAATAAAGAACGACAGTCGACGACAGCGCCTTAAGGTAACACTTTCATTCATTACTTTTTTATGTTCTACTTTAACATTTCCTTAGCATATTCTAATAGAAGAGAAAAATAGTTAATTACCATTCTAAATAATAATTCATTAAAAATATTTAAAGTACCTACTAAGCGCATTGTGTAATCACTTCGTCGGTCGCGGTCGGGAGCAGCTTATCGCCCTTAATATCTAGTCTTTTAAAAAGAAATTAAGAATGTTGAAGATTCATGCAATAGTTACAAAGCACTGCCTCCGAACTAAACATAAATACAACTGAGACTACTTCTTAAATATTCTATTGTATTTTTTAATAAGGCCTGTGCTCAATTATTATTTTACATTATTTTCTACAAATAACGTTTTAATTTGAAGTATAATTAAAATTGATCTCTGATTTTCATGGTTTACTTTTTATTAAATAAAGAATGTTCACCATTTCCCTTATGGTACGTATACTCTTGATATGACGATACCTATCTCCAGGTCATCGTAGTGCCGCATTCGCACAACGACCCCGGGTGGCTCATGACGTTCGAAAACTATTTCGAATCAAAGACTAAAAACATTCTGAACAATGTTGTGCAAAAGCTACACGAATACGCCAACATGACCTTCATCTGGACCGAGATCTCTTTCCTCAACGCTTGGTGGGAACGCTCACACCCGGTCAAACAAAAGGTGAGTCATATGTACAATCTTGCAATACTTAAATGCAAAAATGCCAATTAAGGTTTAAAGGATTCCATAATCGTCGCGACTGTAGCACGATATCGGGTAAAATGAAGTCGACCGTCTTACAAAGTTGCAGATAAGTTACGTAAAACTTTTAGCGAGTGAGCACGTGCTCGCCATGGGATGCAATCGCCATCTGGTGATAGCTTCAGTGCAGCGTGCACTTCCTTCCGACTTTGTCAACTGCATTCCATGTTAACAAAATGTTGGACCAATTTTGAACTCTCAATACTTATACAATTGTTTAGATAAATGTTCCACAAAATATTCTATGTTTATTAAAAGCAATTTAAACATGACATTTAAAGTATTTAATAGACACTTATATATTAAAGTCTCACTATCGCCGTGTTGCACCGGCATTACTACTAACGCCATCTCGTCTTTAATTACTTTACCACTCCATGTTTCTACTCAAACCATTTTAAACAAAGCGCATTGAAACGAAGCACAATGTGTTATTAAAATCTTTTATATTATGAAAAATTCTGTTGTCAGTGTGTGTGTACTTCACTGTAAAATACCAGCATTGCGGCATGTACGTACGTGACCTAAAACTTGGGCAACCATTGTTTGTCACTTAGTTGTTTTAGTGAAATTATATTTTGATACTTTCGTACAATATCTTGATATAATATTAAATAGAAAAATATATAATCGCAAATAAATTATTAAGAAAATGAAATTACATAAGACTTGTATTTTTCAGGCTTTCAAAAAGTTAATCAAAGAAGGACGTCTCGAAATTACAACTGGCGGTTGGGTGATGCCGGACGAGGCTTGCACGCATATTTATGCTCTCGTCGACCAATTCATTGAAGGTGAATATTGTCGTATCACACAAAAGGCAACGAACCTTAAGCGCGCATTATAGTTTAGGTTCAATCTCCTTAGAGAACATCAACGATTTTTTAAATCCTGTTTGTGTAGTAGCGACATCTCTACTATAATTGTCATACCACGTGCTTAAGGCTCACCATGTGAGAGCATCGTGCACTATTTTGTAGTTCTGTTACTAGAAAAACTTTAATTCATTTTTAGGTCACCAGTGGGTCAAGACTAATCTCGGCATATCTCCGAAGACGGGGTGGTCGATCGACCCGTTCGGCCATGGACCGACCGTACCGTATTTGCTTGATCAGAGCGGTCTTGAAGGCACTATCATACAACGGATCCACTACGCGTGGAAGCAGTGGCTCGCCCAGCGACAGATCGAGGAGTTCTACTGGCTCGCGAGCTGGTCTCAGCAGAAGCCGTCCCTGATCGTCCACAACCAACCCTTCGACATTTACTCCATCAAGAGCACCTGCGGGCCGCACCCCTCCGTCTGTCTCGGCTTCGACTTCAGGAAGATACCTGGGGAATACTCGGAATACACAGCCAAGTATGAAGAGATCACCGACCAAAACGTCCACAGCAAGTCCAAGACCCTCATAGAGGAATACGACCGCATCGGTTCCCTCACGCCGCACAACGTCATCCTCGTTCCTCTCGGAGATGATTTCAGATACGAGTACGGCATAGAATTCGACGCTCAGTATATTAATTATATGAAAATGTTTAATTATATAAATAAGCATAAACAAGTTTTCAATGCTGATGTTTCATTTGGCACCCCCTTAGACTACTTTGATGCGATTAAAAAACGTCAACCTCACATTCCAACTCTCAAAGGAGACTTCTTCGTTTATTCAGACATATTTAGCGAAGGCAAGCCCGCGTACTGGTCCGGGTACTACACCACCCGCCCCTATCTCAAGATTCTAGCTCGTCAGTTTGAGCATCAACTGAGAAGCGCCGAAATCATTTTCACTTTAGCCTCGAATCACATTAAACAGTCTAAAAACCGTAAACTTATTCCGTCTGAAAAGCGTCTAGAAAAGTTCTATGAGCAGCTCATAACTGCTCGCAGGCACTTGGGGCTGTTCCAGCACCACGACGCGATCACTGGCACGTCTAAGTCTAGTGTCATGTACGACTACGGCACGAAGCTATTCACCAGCATCTACCACTGCATCCGATTGCAGGAGATCGCTCTTAACACGTTGATGCTGCCCGACCCCGAACTACACGCGCAGAGCGTGCTGCAGAGCCAGGTTGAGTGGGAGACGTACGGGAAACAACCCAAACAGCTCCAAGTGTCAATCGTTGACAGAAAGAGAGTGGTGGTCTTCAATTCCCTCACACACTCGCGTACTGAGGTCATTACTCTCAAGTCTAACACGACTAACGTACGAGTGTTCGACACTCGGCTAAAAGAACACGTGCCGTATCAAATAGCTCCTAACATAATTAGTACCGGCAAAAACAAATTCATTATCAGCGACTCGATATTCGATGTTATATTTGTGGCCACTCTCCCGCCGCTCAGCGCTGTTACTTTTAATCTAGAAGAGCACACTAACATATCTCACCATAGCGTTATTTTTTGTAACAATTGTAGCGACAAAATAGTTGACAAGGATCGTTCTGAAATCTTTCCTATCAAAAAGATGATGCCAGGTGACATTCAGCTTGAAAATTCAATAATGAAATTATTAATCGATAGAAACAGTGGACTTTTGCGTCAAATCAATAGAAAAGATACGCGTCGCCGGCACGTGGTGGAAATTCAGTTCGGTGCATATCAGAGCGCTCAGCGCCATTCCGGAGCGTACCTCTTCATGCCGGACTACGATTCTCCCGAGAAGAACGTCCTGCATCCGTACACGAGTGGCGGCAGTATGCAGGATGAGAACATACTCATAATATCAGGCCCCATCTCTACCGAGATCAGCACGTTGTACCTGCCTTTCCTCGTCCATACGCTGCGCATTTATAACGTTAAAGATCACGATCTATCGCGCGCAATTCACGTCGAAAACTTCGTCGATTTCGAGAGCCCCCCGAAGAACAGGGAGACCGAGTTGTTCATGAGGATTCAGACGAACATACAAAACGGCGACGTGCCCGAATTCTACACCGACCAGAACGGTTTCCAGTACCAGAAGAGAGTGAAAGTGAGCAAACTGGGCATCGAGGCGAATTACTACCCCATCACGACGATGGCGTGGCTGCAGGACGAGGAGGCGCGGCTGACGCTCGTGACTGACCACGCGCAGGGCGCCGCAGGCTTTGAGCCCGGTCGCCTCGAGGTGATGCTGGAGCGCCGCACGCTGTACGATGACCACCGCGGTATCGGGGAGGGTGTCGTCGACAACAAGCCCACCATGTTCCGGCACTGGCTGCTGCTGGAGCCGACCTCCTCTTCGGACCCCGGTGCGCCCGTCCGCCGCCGGCGCGACGCCGCCCACGTGTCGAGCGTACTCCACGAGCGACGCTTCAGCCCCAACCAGCAGGCCATCAGCTACGAGCTGCCCTCGCGCACCGCCGACCGGCTAAGCCGCGCCCTCAACTACCCGCCCAACGTGTACATCGTGGACTCGAGCGAAACGGGTGAAGTGGCCGTGCGCCCGCACCGCGCTTTTGTCACCGCCTTCCCTCCCGACGTGCACCTCGTCACGCTGCGCACGCTGACCGACGACGTGCTTGAGCAGTTCCCCAGCACCTCCTGTTTCATGGTGCTGCAGAGACCCGGCTTCAATTGCTTTCTCAATGAAAATTCCAAATACACGGCCGCTAAGTTCACGGAAAGGACCAAGTTCAACGGTTTGCGCGTCACCAACATGACGTCCGTGAGTCTGACCGGCCTCAAGACCTACAAGAACCTCTCTAGCTTCAAAGAGGTGGAAGTGGGGCCGCTCGAGCTGAAAACCTATAAAATTAAGTTTTAATTCAAATAAAGACTGTGAGTAAAGTACGAGTATATGTACACTATTAGTATACTTTCGGTGTACCCGTTAGTCGCCGGCGTCGAAATGTCTCGCGCTGGCGTATATTGCATAAGGAGAGTAACGACTGTTCGCGTGTGTCTCATAGATGCTCTACGTTTGTTTCTTCTCGCGCGCTTCTCGGCTGTGCCCCCACTGTCGGCTCTGTACCAATGATTTATGTTAATTTCGGAACTAATCTAGTGCCAGTACTAGATGAATCTACCTCAGGACCAAATTAAACGACACGATGTGCGATATCTTTCTTATTCACTTATAACTTTGTATAGCCTATTTATCGACCGCGTCTCGAGAGACTTCCCCTGCCTTACTTATCCTTGTAATAAATTTATATATTTATTTACTATCGTTTAAGCGTATTCGTAACCTCAGATTTATTTCTGTGTCTTCGCAGTAGATATCTTAAATATTTACCGGTAAATGTTGTAGGAGTAGCAGTTAGGTGTCGCCCTACACACTCGCGGCGCCGGTAGCAACTCACAGAGTGAATACATACTTGTAAGAATCTCGTAACTTTATTTTATTTTAATATATTTTGTATTTGTATATAATTTTTGATCTTTAATAGCATAGAGTGCGTCGACGTCGCTACTGTACAGTGTACGTCCGCGCGAATTGCTTAGCCAAACTAATATGGATCTTGCACAAAAACCTCCTCCGTGTCCTCGTGGCGGTGCTAGGTGTAATGGAGCTGTAACACGCTTATTTGGAGTTTGTTTAAAATTCACCGAATGTATGACCGATATTTGTATTCAATTATGTTTTTTTACGATATTTTAGATTTTTAAGATCAAAACGGGAGAAGGGTGCATTTTTCTTATTATATAATCTAGGTACAATTGTTTTCATTGTATCTCTATATTATTGTATGTACACAGCTGTACATATTCTGTAAGTCGAACTGAAGTCGTTTGTGGCGCATTCGATGTTTCATAAATAATGTTAAAGTAATGGAGAAGATTTCTGATGTTGATAATATGATATTTAACACAATGGAATATAATTCCATATATCGGTCAAAACTAATAAATCAGTGACTTTTTTTTGAAATCTATCAATAAATTACTGAGAAATTAATTTAAATTTCGGCCGTTCAGGACGTGTTCACGAAATTATTCTTACAAGCGCAACATTAAAATTCATAACTTTTCCATTTGTTGAGATATTTAAATAATACTTTCATAATTTTGTAACATATTGCTTAAATTTTTATAATTAATACAAAAAAAAAGGGAAACTTCTCCATTCCACGTTATTTAGATATGTAACAGTATTTTAACTCCAACACTACGTACGACTCCCGTGGGGCGGTTTGTGCAACGTCTATACGTACTAGTATAATATAAATTGTGATGGAAAGCTTTTAATTTAATTAATTTCAAGTACAATCATGGTTTTAATATTTGGTTGTGTTCGCATAATCATAGGTTTATATTAAGATTTTGTTTTATTTTATATTAATATGAGGATGTAACAAGTCCACGGCTCGTAGGATAATTGTACTAGAGCTTAGGTGAATGCCAATTGCCAGTTTTGGATTAGATATTGGTATTTTCTAGAAATTTCTTATAATATCAGATTATTAAATAATCACGACTCATAGCGTCTTCGACTGATGTGATTCTTACTACAATATGTTCAGGCCCGCGGCGAGTGAGCGAACATTTGTCCGATGTTAGTAAATGTTATAAGTCTATTTAATATTGCTGTCTAGGAAATATATGTAGTTAGATACCCTCGAGAGGCGACTGGGTGTGATACGGCAGTGGCACACGCACTCAACACCTTAGAAGATTAACTTGGTTGTAATTGACTAATTGCAACTGTACTCTCTTTGTATTGTTAACCACTTATACAGACAGAATCTCGACAGTGTGTTCCGCCAGCATCATTCGCAATCGTCCACTCTCGATAAATATATAAATCAATGTTCTTTGTAATTCTCATAGGAAAAATAATGAATTTAGGGGTTAAGGGTGATTTTGAAATGTTTATGAAACCTCGCGTTGGTCGCAGCTGGAGGTTACTGACGACTTTGTTCTGTAACGAGACAATTCCTTTACGCTTTTATTTATTTGTATATAAATTGAAGTGTACATATTTGTTTAGTTTTAAGATTATTTTAATCATTAAATAATTTGAATGCCGAACGTTTACATTTAGTATGAAGAATTATATTGAGTCAATATTTATACAACTTCAAGGTTTTTGTGATAATTTGTTGTTTTAGGTTTAAGTTGAGACTGTACAACGCCAGTGAACTGTAGTTGAAATAAAATTATGAAAAATTAAGTATATTTGTTTTATTTCATAGAAGCCCATTTGCAATTAATATTATTTAATAAGTTTCACAGTTAGTGGGAATATTTAGAATTAAATTTATTTATTAAAATATACTTTATTAAAAAAATAACAACTATCAATAGTCGGCGTCTCGAGCCGCGTCATTTCTTCTTTATCCGGCTCGCGATCCACTCCAGGCCCAAGTGCAGGCTGCAACAAACGAACAACTTGTTGTACAATAACACTAAAGCAGGTCGGAATCCGCGACCTCCGCCGAACGAGACAATATTACAAAGATTAGAAGAAGAGAGTAATAAGCTTTAAATAGAATATATGAAAAATATTTTGCATTTACTTATACAACAAGAACTCGCAAATATAGTTGATTGCTAACGTCATCAAATACACAATTTTTTAAAGCTGTTATAACAATTTTCGTATATATAATAACCTATATAAAATATAACCTATAAATGGCTATAGTATAATAAAGAGGAGTATACAAATATAAAAAAAACAATTGCATAAAAAGGGAACTAAAAAGAGTGAAACAAGTTGACGAAGGAATATAGTACGTATATAATGCAGTCGGGAGACATAGCGTCGCTTTACTTAAATACTTATCTTTCAAACGACCAATAATTAATTATTGTACTTTACAGTACAGTCTTTTCATCTATTTTAAGAGCAACATATGTAGATAAAAAATAAAGTAAAATATGTATTTAATACCAATAGAATTGACATTTTAAAGTCAATTATTCTGTATTAAAAACTTTCGATAAATTGGTCCTTTGGATAAACAAGCACTGAGACGACGATATGATCTGTATACATGTCATACATAGACGGATTTGCAAATTTCTTCTTTTTTTTTGTTCGAAAGAGGTTTATTCCGAAATCCCATTCAAATTTGAAAAAAAGACAATTGATTTTTCACCTATTTTTACTTTGCTACTCTAAAAATTGACAAATAAAAACTTAAAATAACTGATTGGTAGTTTTCATTTTTTGTTTATTTACTATAGATACCAAATCAGATATTGCACGACTGTCGGTGCCAGGCGACACAATACAAAGCACACCGACTTCGAAAATAGCTATTCATGTATCTATATATAGTAAATGCAAACTATCAATCAGTAATCTTTACCTTTTTAGTGTTTTTTTTTTTGAATTTTTTTAAAGTTTTTCAAAAAACAACGAGTTCTATTCCCGAGTACGTATATAAGTTGTCAAAAATTTAGATGCAGTTTTATGATGATTGATGATTTTTGCTATTAAGAATAATTTAAGATTTCTCTAATCTGTCTGTATATGTCATATGTCCAAGTGTACGTTTGTGTGTTCACGTGTATCTCACCCCTCGCCGGTGAGCGCGCAGCAGGCCTGTATGTGCCAGGGGTGCCGCTTGATGGACGTCAGCTGCAGCTGCTCGGAGATCTCCGCCGCAGACATCGAACCCTTCACATCCTGCGGACAGACGTAACACTTCCCTTACATCGCCATCAAGGTACATAAACTAAATCTAACACAGCAAGCTATCTGAAGACGTCGCCAGTCATTTTTTGTTGCCACTTGATGTTTCCCATTTTTCCTATTTCAAAAAAAATTTTTGCTTGCGCTGTAACACACGGCAACGCCTTAATTCCTATGTACATATTCGTATGTCTGTTAAATCGCGCATCGTTCTAGTTTTTTTTTCAGCTTATTTAATGTACCTGACACAGACAATAATCTAAAACAATTAACCAAGCTTAATTTTCACCGGTCGTAAAAGTCCTAAGTTAGGTATTCGTTTTACACTTTGATATAAAACATAACAAGTCCGCAAATTGCTGTTGAATAATAATAATATAGATATATACATTATACAATGAAGTTTTATAATATTATCTCTTTTTATTATATCATTGAATATATACAGTAGATGACGAAATAATCTATGGCGTGGCGACAAAGATTATTTCAACAACATCGCTCACAGACGCTAACATTGTATGTATGTATGGAATATTATACTTTTATAATACAATCAAATACATTTGTATAAAGTAGTGTGACGAAACACTTGTCATCACGTGTCACTTCTCGGAGCTAAGGGAGATAGACGTCCTGATAAGGTGTCTATTTATTCGTTGAAAATGATAAATAACTTTTATAACCAGTAATACGGTAGTATATCTAAGTATTAGCTAGTTGGGAGTTCGATTTCCATCTGGGGTAAATATTTTTAATTAATCATCTCAAAATTCTTCTTTTATATACATACATTATACATACATATAGAGACGAATGAAGGTGTGGCCCACAATGGTTTTCCTTTTAATTTTCTTTCTTTTTTACTTGACTGCGCGAGGCAAATGAGGATATTGTGGTTATCAGTCTATGTATGTATATGTTTGTTTCTATTAGTATTCTAGAGACCAAACCCGTGGGCCGATTTTGATTATTCATACGTCGTTAGATTTGTCTTAGTAACGTGAGTGTCATAGGCTATATAAAAATTGTTAAAAATCAAAATGTCAGATTTCAGGCGCCAATTTGAGTATATTTAAAAAAAAATTAAGTAAATCAGAATAAAAAATTGCTAAATATTACTTTAAATGTCTAATGGAATCAAAGAAAAATCAAAAACTAAAAAGCTGTAAATAAATAAATATGGATAGCACACTAGTTGTTGGTCATCAGTTATGAGACAGAGGAAACATTTACCCCGTGAGGACCTTCTTAGATGTAGATAAATAAATAAATATTATGTTGGGACATTAACACACAGCACCATCTAGTTCCATGATTAGTTACGGGGCTTGTGTTATGTATTATACCAGATAGTTGATACACTGCACATATATAACTTTAAATACATACATAATTCAAATATAAACACCCATGACTGGAGTACAAATAAATATTCGTGCTCATCACCCATAAAGATTTTAAATTAAATGAATCCCCCAACTGCCAAACTGAGCCAAATTAAATTAAGTATTTAATTTAAATACATTTGATAGAAAATTTGCATACTAAAGGTAATAAAATTAAAACCTGTTGCGACATTAAATGGGACAGAAATATTTATTGTTTTCCAACTTTCGGCCCTCGGTCAAAATGGTGATTCCACAGAAAAATGTTTAAATTAAAAATGTTATTAAGGGATCTCGTCATTGGCAGTTAGCTCATCATACGAAGTAATCTCGATGTTGGAAGCCTGGACGTTAAATATTGGTTCTACAAAAAAATATGGCAGAGATCAAAGTCGTAGAAAGTTTAATTCCACGCAACTTTGTTCCTGTGCATTTAGGCCCTAAAATCATATAAAAATAAATACATAATTCAATAACTACATTTCCCATTTTCGCGCCCTTAACTCGGAAAATATCGATAATACGAAAAAAATAGCAATAAATAAAATATAGAAAAATAAACAAAGAACAACTTTAGTCCTTATGATTCTTCTCGAAAAGTTCAAAATGACCCAGATATTAGGGAAAAACAATTCTCACTTAAAATAAAGATGGCGGCTAACGCACCGCGATCGGTGATTTAGTCACGATTTTAAATTTACTCTCCCAGTGACTAGGTTCTAAAGGCTGGTGAAATAATATTTTGCCAAAAAAATTCGGGATTACGCTCTTATTTCCGACTGGGTTAGTACGAATACTATATTTTTTTTGAATTTCTTTTTGTTTTCATTACCCTTAAAATGATAACCCAGTGGTAACGCGGTCGCTTAGGAAACGACGCAACGACGCGGAGTTCAAATCCCGCGTCTCACATGTCTGATATTTTCATGTGCGAAGCATTTGTTTGCAACATGATTACCATTTGTCTTACGGTGAAGAATAGCATCATTAGGAAACCTGCATGTCTGAGAGAACCTAGCAAGTTTTGGAAAGACATAATATGAAGTCCACCAACCCGCACTTGGCCAGGCCAGGTGGTCTATGGCCTGATTCCCTTGGTATTGAAGAGAAACCTGTGCCCAGCAGCGGGACGTTAAAAAGGACCAAATACAAACCCTTAAAGAGGTCTTTAAGGTTAAAATACCTTAAAAAATTGTTTGGGTTTTAGGTTAGACCTAGTAGAGACAACGGCGCGGCGTACGGACGTGTATACCAACCTGTTTGTTGGCGAACACAAGCAGACACGCCTTGCCGAGCTCCTCGTGCGACAGCATGCGGTGCAGCTCCTCGCGGCTAATGGCCAGCCGCTGCCGATCCGTCGAGTCGATCACCATGATCACGAACTGGAACATTGCACACGTTTGTTACTTATATAAAGCTAAATATGTCCTAATTAACAGATTACATAGCTTTTAGAAGATAATATATTGGTGATAAAATTTATATACGTTATAAAAATTTTAAGCAGGCATTGAATATCCAATCGACAAAGCTTGCCAAGCAAATGCTTGGCTGAACTATCCTAACTTTATATGCATAAGACATTTCGCTTACTAGATTGATATCCAAACAGGCGATTAGGCGATTCATGAAACTATACTTAGACGATAGAAAAATTGGATTGAAAAATGGAGTTCGCTTCACTGAACTAAATTAACATGAAAATAATTTAGGATTCACTTGGCTGCACTATACGCTTGGCGGCAATAAAACAAAAGACCATTTGATTATCTAGACTAGTTAATGTTTATTTAAGTTAATTAAGAATTCAGGATTGTATTCAGCCCTTTTTAATGTCCTCCTGCTGGGCACGGGCCTCCCTTCCATACACCAGTGGTAGCCCAGTGGTAACGCGCTCGCTTGGGAAACCGAGTGAAGTGGGTTCAAATCCCGGGTGTCGTCACCTTTGATATTTTCATGTGCGAATCATTTCTAACATGATTACCACTTGTCTTATGGTGAAAGACAAACACCGTTAGGAAACCTACAAATCTGAGAGAATCTAGCAAGTTTTCGAAAGACATGCGAAGTCCACTACCCGCACTTGGCAAACGTAGTGGACTACGGTCTTATCCCCCTCATAATGAAGAATTCAGAATATACTTATGTAAAAGTAAATGTCGCAATGCACAATTTGATTTTATTTTAACAAAAACTTAATTTTTATTTGAATATTATACTGAATTTGTTCAGCTTTTTTTTATTTATTGTACTATATATAAAGTGACAATATAAGGGGTTAAAGTAAGTAAAGCAAGTTGTACAAAAAGTGTCAAAAAATAAGATAAACTACTATCTCCTAAACTAAGCCAGAGCCTGTATTTTAGGTGATAGTCGTTCCGCTTTCACAATTGAATTTACAACTATTTATATGTCATGCGAGTGCTTCAACAATATCAACAAATGTTACTTTCTTTATACTCGTATGTTAGCAATGTAATATAAAATTGATGAACAATTCAGCAGAGTTAATTATGTATGAATAGGTTCAATGTTGGACCTTGAGCTGGTCGTCACTCACACGCTGTTCGTCGCTGAGCGATCATTGTAGTAATAAAGAGATTTCATACTAAATTAAAATGCATCATGTTATACATAATAAGCAACTCAACGCATCGCTGCGAGCCATCACCCACCGACCACGGTTCACACTGCACTGCGCAGACCTCTTCACACCGGCTGAGAATACAACGTGACAACACGCCTTTATCGTTAATATCGTAAAGAAGTAAAATTGGCCTTGAATTTGCCACTTTTTTGCACAATTCAAATAAAATATATATTCACTAAACTTATACGATATTCTAAGTGTTACATTTTAGGGGAAGAATTTTCTTTTCTCTTTTTGATGGAATAAAAATTCGTAAATTGTATGGAATATGTAATAATATTATAAATGTGAAAGTTTGTGAAGATTAATGGATGGATGTTTGTTCCTATTTCACGCCAGAACGGCCGTATGGATCTGCATGAAATTTGGCACAGAGATATAACCTTGAATAGCACATAGGTTTTTTATCTCGGAAACATGTACAGTTCCCGTGGGATAGATTTGTTTTTGTCTAGGGACGAACCTGAAGCGAAGAGACCCACTCTTAGTCTATCTCTTAGACTTCTCTCTGAGTCGCTAGTATTATAATAATTATTAAAATCAGTCCATAGTTAGCTAACATATAAACAAGATATCAAAATAAGTTACTGGAAGATAATAAAATACTTAAATGACTGGAATGCTTCTTTCTTTTCAAGTCAGTAATATGATAAATTGTGTGTAAAATACCAAAAACGTTTCATTCAAGGTACAACATTTCAGTTAAGGAAGAACAAATATTACGCCAGCTGGTCGGCGTGGACATTTTAAATCTGTGCTAACCAAGCAACGTACGCCAAGCCACGCACACTGTAGACAGCTGAGTATTCAGTCACTGTGGTATCAATCATACTTTTAACACAAATACAAAAATAAACAAAATTGAACAGAAGTGAAAATTTTTAAAAACCTTCGCTTAAACGCAATAATTTTATGTCAAGGGTAGCAACTATTTTAATAACTATAAAAGCAATAAAAAATAATTATACTACCATCCACAACATCTCTACAAAGTTGACATCAATTATTATACTACCCATTAGCCTTGATTTAAACTAGTATGATTTGGTCATTACTGTGACAATCTGAAATTTAATTAAGCAATTTTTACGCGTATTTTTGTTGTCATTGGCGAGAATGGCACTTGAATGTGGACACCTCCAATGTAAGGACATAAATTGCATGTAAATGACAACGGTAATAAGATTAAACTGACCGTTAATAGCATTTATATACACATCATGTACAATAATAACCTTTGAAATTTTCTTTATTTTTTTTAAGCTATATATTTTCTATAGACCTCTTTTATGAGTCACATGGTCAGCACAAATATTAATCCATGCAGAACTCCCTACCACTGCATATGCAATCTTATCGATAAAAGTTAGGAATGAAGCTTGGTATTGCTCTATAGTGACCATTAGTCATGTATAAAATGTTCCTATATAATGTACAGCACATAATAAATAGATCAATCAATCTAACATTGCAATAGATGCATTTCAGGCGAGCATTCCATTCGCAATGCTATTCAATCAAATAATTATCTAAACTATTTCTCGCAGCCTTTAAGTAAAGCTCAAAGTCCACAACTGATTTGTACAAACCACATCAACGTAAAGAGGAAAATGGGCTTATTCTTGTGCCCATAAAGTAAACAATATTTTTATTAACTAATCCTACCTAGACTCTAGTAAAACATTCGGGCAACTGAAATTTATTAGTTTTTAAAGTATGATGTAATATCATTTTAACCTGTAGATTTTAAAAGTTCTAAGAATATAAATTTGAAGCATAAATTTTTTAAAGTACCTTTGTATGCTTGGATTGGTTACATAATTGCTAGCTACATTCCATAATCTTATTATAATTTAATAACAAATACTTACTTCACTATTTGTGTAATAAGTATTCCATGCAGATCGCAAGCTCTGTTGTCCACCAAGGTCCCACATAACAAAACGTAAGTTTCTCCACACAACTTCTTCAACATTAGAGCCTATAGTAGGTCTTGTATGCACAGCTTCACCCAGCAATAGCTGGTATAATATTGTCGTTTTGCCAGCATTATCCAAGCCTACTAGCACTAACTTGTGTTCTGTAAAACAATATTTAGACAAATTTAATTGTAGTTTTATAATGAGTTTATGCAATAAAGTTAAAGAATCAAGTCTTATAATAGTATATGAAGTTTTAGAACATGTTTATTTCAATATTTGAAGAATTAATACTCGCAGACTATCAGGAGCAAAATTCACTATCTTATCGTAGTAGTACGACATTAATTTACTACTTCTGTATAGTACCTAAGATTGAAACGAACATTCTTACCTTCGTTCCCAAAAAGGCTCCATATTTTTGAAATGAGCAAACCCATTGTGTAGGTTTATAAACATATGTACAAGACCCTATATTACCAAATTAACATCGCTCTCATTTTAAAGAACTCTAGCGAAAACTACCCTCTAAAATTAAAAAAAAATCACAACGTTGATGTATTTATTTACTCTAATAGTCATATTAAAACCATTATAAAAGGTCCTCTACCAAAAAATATGTTACGCGTCGTTTCATTTTCTTTTTGATTAAATCAAAAGCCTTATTACGGAGTACACCTGTTGAAAAGTGGGTCAAAGTGTTGGAATTTATTTCGATTAAAACGATATTCACTTTAGTACAGTTAGATATTATTTTGATAATTTCTTTGTTAACAACAACTGAACTGATTAAACATTATTTTTATGAATTATAAATTCTTGGAATAAAATGTAAAATGTCACGAACACTTATTACAAATAACAGAATAAGACTGTAGTCTGTCGTCTGTAGAGTGTACACATTGTCTATTACTCAACACTCTATGAATGTGCATGACACACATTCTCGTTGCGGAACAAATAGTGTCAAAATAATATTATATAATGACAAATCATTATTATTCTCATAATGTTCATAATATTATTATTAATATAAATATTATGCATATACTAAAGTAATTATTTAATAAAAAAATAGGTATATAAATATATAAAATCATTTAATTAAACTAATTGTATATAATATTTATATAATTTTTGTTATATAATTTAATAGAAAATTTATTTCGTTTTTTATACATTTAATATAATATAAATCTTTTTTGTATTATCACGCATAATTCTTACAGCCCACTAAAATGATATACTCGTAATTTATTATAGTACATTCTAATTCAATATTTTAAGTCATTTAATTTATTACTTTCATGTTTTAAACATATTTATATGTTTAAAACATGAAAGTAAAAAATAAAAAGAGATAGAAAGGGGTTTGGTTATTCTTTGCCCCTTTCTATCAGAATATCACATTTTTTATCTGTTTGCCTACTTGTATTTATCATCTAAGTTTATGGGACTATCATCTATTTCTATACATCTATCTTCTATAATATAAAAATGAATCGCTGAATGTGTTGGTAAGCGCAAATCTCGAGAGCAGCTGAACCGATTTCGCTAATTCTTTTTTTAGAATATTCCTTGAAGTACGAGGATGGTTCTTACGGTGAGAAAAATTTAAAAAATTGCCTGAAAAAGTCTAAAAACAACACTTGTTTATACTCCCATACAAAAGATTCGTAATAATACTTACAAGTCAATTTGAACTTTAATACCATACCATAAAGTTTAAGTGTTAGTAAAGATGTACCGGGAAGGCAAAACAATTGAGTGACGTTAGTATCATATAAATATTAATGTCAATATTTGTCAATATTATTAACAAAAAAAAATTATATGGCTAACGCTGGCTAATAACTATTTAAATCTATTTAAAACGTACCTAGCGACGAACCCGAGCGAAGCGAGGGTAAGCTGCTAGTACTATAATAAAACAGTAGAAGTCGAATGTCTGTACATAGCAAAAAAATGCTAAAAACCGAGTCAGGGGGATGTAAGAAGACAAATAGAACAAATCCAGATTTTTTCAATTTTTTTGTTTCTCTGTCTGTTTGTCTGTTTATACGGGCTAATCTCCGAAACTATTGGACTAATTTAAATGAAATTTTGCATGGTCGTACCTTATATCCCCAGTCAACATGTAAGATACTTTTCATTCCGGAAAATTAAAGAGTTCCCGTGGGATAGTTAAAAAACTTTAATATCTTATACAGCTTAGTACACAATAACTTATGCACTTAATTTAGTAAAATTTAACATTCTGATACCTTATATTGCCGGTCAAACAACAGGTTACTTTTCATCCCGGAAAAATGAATGGTTCCCGTGGGAACTAATGGATTTCTATTAGTGTTTCTCTAGAGGCGAACCCGAGCGAAGCGAGGGTAAGCCGCTAGTATTATAATAAAACTATAGAGGTAGAATGTCTGTACATAAAAAAATGTTAAAAAACCGACTGAGGGGGATGGACGTAAGAAGAGAAATAGAATAAATCCAGTTTTTTTTCGATTTTTCTGTTTTTCTGTCTGTTTGTCCGATTTAAATGAAATTTTGCATGATGGTATCTTATATCCCCGGTCAACATTTTAGATATTTTTCACCCCGGATAGTTAAAGAGTTCCCGTGGGATAGTTAAAAACTATAGTAACTTAAACAACTTAGTACACTTAAACTACTGAAACGAACGCTAGTACGACTCTACGAGACTTGCGAGTTGAGACGCAGGTGAGGCGCACCCACAGACATGGCGCACCCGACCCGTCTATATGACAGGCTATGGCTTTGGGATGTTGGGTACAAACGTATGGGTACACTACAATGCCTTAACTTAGGAAATGTTCACTATGAAAACTGCTATTTTGAAAGCCTTTGATATTGACAGGATTTCCGTTAAAATTAATTGTGCGATGCCTTCTGTATGGATTTTTGTACCGTGCTACTATACTTTAGCGCCTGTGATACACGAGTCCAGCTGACTTGAAGTGGATGGATGATGTCACTACGTATAGATGAAACTACTAAGAGGAAGAGGTTTCAAATGAATTAATATATTTTACTCTGTCTATGCGATTGAGGCAGTGGTAGAGTAGTGGTAACGCGCTCATTTGGGAAATCTTGAGTGAAGTGGGTTCAATTCCCAAATCTCGCACCTCTGATATTTTCATGTGCGAATCATATCCAACATGATTACCACTTGTCTTATACGGTGAAGGAAAATATCGTCAGGAAGTCTGAGAGAACTTAGTAAGTTTTTGAAAGACATGTGTAGTCCGCCAACCTGCACTTGGCCACCGTGGTGGACTATGACCTGATCCCCCTCGTATTGAAGTGAGGCCTGTGCTCAGCAGTGCGACGGTAAAAAGGGCTGAATACAATACATAAAGAAATAAATATGTTAGGATCTTAACATTAGGAAATGCATTTATGCATATCACCTGCGACCTGCACCTACGTACAGGTGGTTTAGCCCTCAATTAAACCAAACGGGATCGAATTCGGAAGAACCGCTGAATCACTAAAGCACTCAACCCGCCCCGACGGCTCGTTTACCGAATTAATAACAAAGGCAATATTTGGCAATATTAGTAGATACAATGTGAGATATTTTAATTTTTTTTACAAAAAGTAACATCGCTTTCATTTTAAAGAAGCTCACTAGCAAAAACTAGAGCATAAAATTCAAAGACATAATATAAAATTAAAAAATTGTGTACTATAACCATAGCACAATTCAATCATTTAAGATTCAAAAACTAATAAAGTTAAATAAAACTTAGGTGCATATATTTAAATGAAATATATTTTATGGTAATTAATAATCATATTTTAAATCAAAGACATTTTATTGCAATTATCAATAGGTTTATATAGGTAGGTAATTATTATTTATTGATAAAAAATTATAATGATCAAGTTAATAAAAAAATACATATTCTTTTAAATCAGAAATGGATTCGTAATGTTATAATTTCCATTGGAGGAAAATTTTCTTTATTAAGAATATCTACCGGCGGACCATCGGTCGTGCCTACTAAATTAGTGTGGTACACAACTTTAATATTGCGAAAAATCTTTTTTAGTTTAATCTCATCGCCGCTGCAATGCATATTAATGTCTTGCGCCATCGAACACGAGTAGCTGTTCCTGTGTAGTGTTATGAGAGCAGTGTTGGGAGGATTCTCCAGTGAGGATCCTCTGTGTAAGATGACCCTGTAATTAATAACGGCTGTGTCGCAAGGCAACGGCGCTCTGATTAAAGGTAAAAATGCAAACTGACAATTATTTGTTTTAAGTACTTCTATAAAATAAATGTCTAATTGATAATTGAGGGTGCTAGCCAAATATGTAGCATGTAAACTAGGCAGCTTCAAATTAGTTTTTGCTGTCGTGTCATCATCTTGAATTTTTTGCTCTATAAAATTTTCCAGTAAAATGTAGTGGGTGTGATAAGTTGTGACACTGTCAGCTAAATCTTCGTTAGACCCCCGACCGTCGTCGTATAGTACACGCCGGTCTAACATAATTACTACCTGACCTTCCTGTAGTGACGTCACACCTTGAGAATGATCTGTTGCTATAGTCATTCGACTTTTACCGTCCTCTATAAACACCATGCTTGTCATAGGATAAACATTAGATTCGATACGTCTGCTCAAATTAACAGTTCTATGTGAGAATTGAAACCCATTGTTGTCAATAAACAATTTTAGAGGATTGCCATTATTGATATCCGTTTGAATGAAAAGAAATATTTCTAGCTCTCGATTCTTTGGAGAAACGTCGTAATCTACTTTAGTTTCCAATTTAATAGCATTTGAGAGAGAGCTGTTAAGAAGATTGAATATTTTGACGGAATGTTGGAGAAGCTTACCATAAATAGATACTAGTTCAGTAGTAATTTGGCCTGAAACTATCATCATCGTCTTTAGCTTTGGATCAATTCGGAATGGCAAAAGTATATCTTCTAAAGGCTTCGAAGTATTTATGTTGAATAAAAACATACCAGCATTTGTGTGAGAACTTCTAAAGGCACTAAAATCTATAAGTACAATCTTTTCACTATTTGTTGTCTTTTCAGTTACCGTTTTAAGAAATCCAGTGTACTCGTCAAAAACAAGCCGATATCTATAACTTTCTAGTTGTATGTCACCCATTTCAATGGGATGGATGATAAACGGAAACTCACGACCACCTTTGACATCATCCACTTCACATTTTAAGCAGTAAATTGTAGATAAACTTTGTCCAGAATCATATGATTTTTTTATTTTAAATAACTGAAATGTCATAGGAGGAATGACCGCAACAAAAATTATTTTAAAAAATTGTCTCGAAATTTTTACCTTATTCTCTATAGTATATTTCCAAATGGGATTAACCTGTATTTTGACTTCTTTTTTGTTATGATCTATCACACGTAAATTATAGTGCCTACTCATAAGTTCTACAATTTCCGTCCTTTCATAATTAAGAGAATTAAAAATATAAATTTGATCACCCGATGTAACTGATTTAAATGAAGATATAAATTCTCCTTCCCTGTATACATATTTTTCTAAATAGGTCTCGTTGAGACCCGGTTTGGAGCTAAGTAGGCTCGCAACTGTTTCCTGAATGAACCAACAATCCTTAGCCGTTTTTAAAATTTGAGTTTGAACATATCTTAGGCCTTTGGCTGTCAGCGTTCCACTTACGACGTTACGATCTTGAAATCGGGCCACATTTTCTCTAGCATTCAATAAGCGTTCTATTAGATTTGAAGTATTGTATGACTTAAACACATTAAAATTATGAGCTAATGAAAATAAAATTTCTGTACTTCGAAGAGTTGACTGAATACGTCTTAATAAAATCTTCAGAAATGGTCTAGTAGTAAAATATCCGGTCCAGTATTCAGGGCTGCCTTTGCTTATATCGGCATAAGTAAGAAAATCACCTTTCAATGTTGGAAAAGTCTTGTGTCTGGTTAAAACGCTTTTGAAATAGTCTTTAGCCGTACCGAAGTCTACAGTGGCTTTATAAATATCTTGGTTTAAATTTACAAATTCGGAAATTTTTTGATAATTATTGTACTGGTAGTCGAACTCCGTTTGAAATTGATAAGAAAATTTATCTCCAACTGGTGCTATAATGACATTATGAGAAGATGTAGTTCCAGTTTTAGAATATTGTTCAAGGATCTTTTCTGATTTTTCTTTAACATTAAACGTATTAATATCTACATTGTTATTAATATTTGCAAAATTAAATTCAGTATCACAGATGTCGCCTTGTGGCCCGCAGGCTTTGAACCCAGCTGTGTTAAATTGTAAATAGTGCGCCAAAATGGAATGCTTTGGATAACGGTCATTGCCTATTTTGTGTAATGCTTTATTTAGATTAGTTTCACTGTCTTTATTACTGTCCCAGTTCTGGACCCATACAAAATCTGTATATTGATACTCGGTAAGATATTGTTGCCAAGAGTAATGTAAATTTGAAAATACTAAATGGGATATTCCTGATGTAGACATTAGATAAGGTAGAGTAGGACTGTGAGTTACACTATGTGTAAGCCAAGCGATTTCTGGAGAACAGTTTAAATTATGTTTCAGCCACTGATGACCTGGAAACAGTTGTACAAACTCTTAGTCTAGCTACAAATTTAAAGTCATTAACGGAGCATATATATATAAACTTTAAATATACCTTCAATAAGAAGATGGATGATGCCAAACAAATTGGAAGTAGATTCGTCGGTTTCGACCCATCCACCTGTAGTGATTTCTAACCGTCCTTCCTTTACAAGGCGACGAAGGGTCTGAATAGTTATTATTTTATTAGTAACGATGGAAACATGCTACCAACAATATAACCACGGTAATATTACATATAATTACATTACCGTGATATAACTTACTAGTTTTTAGATTAACGCGAATATTAGATATTTTAAATAAAATAAAAACTTTATAACGGACAAGTGCGAGTCGGACTCGCCCACCGAGGGTTTTGTACAAATTTGTAGGAAATCTGTTTAACTCTAATTTTCAACTTTTTTTATTTTTTGGAACTTTTCCTTTATTTGTGCTGTAAAACCTTGCTTTTTGCTAAATTTCGTGATTCTAGGTCAACGGGAACTACCAAATATGCTTTCGACCCAAAACCTATAGGGTACTTCCGGTTGACCTAGAATTGTCAATTTTGATTAAAAGCAAGGTCTTGTAGCACAAGTAAAGGGAAAATTCTGAAAAAAAAATTAAAAATTAAGGTAATTTTTTAATACTTACTTTTCGCGAAAATCTAAATTTGTCCATGTCTTTTTATCGTGTTGACTCATGACCTATATTTTTTAAACATTTAATAAGGACTATAGACCTCAGCACCTGGTATAAATTTCAACTTGCTAGGTCCACCCGTTCCTGAGAAAATCGGTGGTGACAGACAGACAGACGAACAGACGGACAAGAAAGTGATCTTATAAGGGTTTCTTTTTTACGTTTTAAGGTACGGAACCTTAAAAATAAAATAAGAACAGACTTCCAGGCACTAAAAAGTAAAAAGTTACTGAAAGGGGGTTTTCATTTACTATAAATACCTAATCAGATATTTTCAAAGTCGTTGCCAGACGACAATGCTTTTAAGATATGAATATCTAACAGGTAAACCGTAAAATGACAAGGTATATAAACTCTTATTGTAGTTAAAATATTATTCATTACTTTGTGATGTATTTATACGTATTGAAATAGACTTTCTTTGCTCTGCATCGGTTGGCACTGACTTCGAAAATATCTGATTAGGGATCTCACTACCCTAAACGAAAACACCCGTTTAATTATTTTTTACTTTTTAGTGTCTGGAAGTCGGTTATTCTTTAGTTTTAATTTTTCCATTAAGTGCAGACGTAAGTATTAGTGTAGACGTAATAGCCAAGTAATTTGTAAGAAGAAAGTCTTTTAATAAAATATTCGATTAAGCCATTTATGTAAGTAGGTATGCTGCCGAATTTTATATAAACACTAACATACAAAAAAACTCACTTTTATTATCAGGCTCTAAAATAAAATTCTAACGCATTAGGATTGTCAAATGAATCCAAATAAGCTCCAATAAGCTCGGTATTTATTAGTAGCCGTTAAAGAGTTCCCCTATCCTTCTTATGGCCTCACCATCAGATCGGCTCAATGATCTATACTTACTAATATTATGAATGTGTGAGTAATAAAAGTTTGTGGGTGTGGATGTTTGTTACTCTTTCACGCCAGAACGGCTGAACGGATCTGGATGAAATTTGGCACAGAGATAGATTATAGTCTGGAATAACAAACACAAATAAAGGAAAAATTCCAAAAAATAAAAAAAAGAAAATTAAAGTTAAACAGATTTCTTACAAATTTGTACGGAACTCTCGCTTTTTTTCTTGAAAACGGTAAACTTATGTCAAAACAAAATTACGGGTCGGCCTCGGAACCTACCTTAATAGAAGTACTCACTTTAAAGTAGCAAAATCGGTCATTTTTATGTTTTTGCGTGATATTTTGCTAATTTTTCTCTTGATAAGAACCTCACCTGGACTTCAGCGAATATTTGTAAAAAAAATTAGTCCAGCCGTTATCGAGTTTTGTGCTTAGGAACATTCATTTATATTTATTTATATAGATAGATTATAGAAGATGTAACTTCTAATGTGGCTACTCACTGTTCGACTCTTGTGGCGAGAATTTCTCCACCAATAAGCTAAATGTGATACCTCATTCCAAGAAAAAGTTAAATTTGGATAAAATTTTAGTTTTTTAACAATATTTGATATAATGTTGCGCACTGTGTCGTTATACAACTTTTCAAACGGTCGCTTCCAAATGCTATGAACATCGGACCTTGGTATTAATATTACCTATTATAAAATAAAAAATTAAACAATTTTAAATAAACAACGTTCAAACAAATTTTTATTATACAATTTTTAAAACTTCTAAATATGTACTCACTTTTAAAGAAGGCCATTTTGAATTTCTCATAAGAGATTCATAGCGACTTTCATATATTTTGTTCCAAAATTGTTTTTCCACAACCCATTGTGGCTTAAAAGTAAATAATTGTTAATATTAGTAACCCTAGGGAAAACAATATATTTAACTTACAATCTGTACCATACCTCAATATCAAACTGCTCAAACTTTTTTTGCGAATCAATATCTGCTGCCACTTCATTTAGAACGGAGCAAGAGTTATGGGTAGGTGTGGTGGGTAGTTTAGAATTATTTGAACAATGGGGCGTATCAGCCGCGGGCGGGACTTGTGAGATATCATCAGCCTTATCCTGAACAATATCATATTCTTTTCCGGTAATATTAATTAGGGGTAAGTCTTCAATATTGTTAATATTCTCAAAAGAATCACTAGAATCAAACTCCAACTTAGGGTAACCGGATATCAAAATAGTGTCATCTTTAGCCGATGTGTCGTTTTCCTTCGATAGGTTTGTTGAAAAAAAGAATTTAGATGATGGTATATTAAATGGCTTAAAGTTATTAGAGTTTGTGATGTTTCGTATATCTTGTAAATTATCCGAAAAAATAAAGTTATCCTCATTATTTTGCATAACGTTGGTGATGGCGTCTCTGGCCATTCTGAGCTCGTACGGATGTATGTTTTCATTTTTAGCTATATTCATTCTCGATACTAACGTCCTGCTTTTACCGGTATCGATTGAAGACAGAATTGTCGATATTTTCGGACGTTGCATTTTATGTATGACCGAATTTATTTGTGTATATCCTGGGTAAAACTCTTGAGACATTTTTTCGGTTATGTTTCTCCAGCTGTCTACCCTATTTTCGCTGAAAGGCCTTTGCACCATTTTTGACTGATTTCTGACGATCTTTCGAAGAGCTGCAAAGTAATTATTTATTAATTACAATTACGTTTCATTTCAAACAAAAATTTACATCAATGTTTCAATTATTACTCTTTTCATAGCAATTGCATTGTGAAAATAATGCTATAATCAAAACAAATGTATCATGACATTTTAGTTTCGTTCTAATGATCATCTTCATAGCTTTCCGGCTGTAGACTGGTACTGCGTTGGTGTAACAAAAGGTGTTGAAAGTATAAAACATCAACAAATACTAAGATTTCCTGATTTGTCTACATATTTTGAATTTATGTTTTGAAATAATTTTCCGTCATGTCATCGTAATATGCATGAGCGGTACAGGTGAGTTTATACGAGTAATAAGCAAAGCACACCAATAGATGCACCTAATTAAGTATCATTCAATCAATTGACTTTAATATGCACGAGCACTTAGGCGTGTAGTTGGTGAGACAGATTGTCATCTTGTTATTGGTACAATCATTTTGTTACGCGCCGTTAGTTTAGTCGAAGACATTGAGCGCCTTCATACAACCTCTGTGGTGTTCATCTATACAGGTGCCAGGCGGTCAGGAAAAGTATCTCGACGAATATATTTTGACGTTAGGACGGGATGATTTTCTCTTGTGTCTATAAATTTTATTAATTATTGACATTATAACGATTAAAACACAAAAAGTGTTTCATTGTTTAACAATGTGCTTAAAAATTGCAATATAGGAACTTACATAACAATAAGCAAATTGAAATGAAAATACTAGCTTTAACATTTTCAAATAGCCTTAAACTCTTTAGAACATTATTATATAGGTACTTGACGGTGCCTATGGTCACTAACAATCGGAAACGTCGCCGCTGCGCTAAGGCAAAGAAGGAAAACCCATTAAAATAAAATTTGCAAGGATAATATTATATACTATTGCTGCTATCTTCTGAAAAAGTAATGATTTCCGGTGCTATGAAAATTCATGCGCACTTTGCATAGAAACTGCATCTATATTATATATTTACACGGCGATAATCCTGCATGGAAACAAAGGAAGGGTCTATCAGAACCTAGTTATGTGTCTTTAAACATAGACGACGCATGCGCCTTGGTTCCGCGCGAATTTCACCCCTAAATGTTGCCAACCTCGGCGAGGCTAGGGCGCGGGTGTATCGATCGGCCACCCCTCGCAGTGCACTCTATATCGCGGTGCATAACAGCACGTCTATTTCGAAAACTTTAAAGTGCAACCGAAATGGTGAGTGACCTCCCTAAATATTACTATCACAAGTATTAGTGAAACTAATAACTAATATTAGTTTTGTTATTTCAACATTGTGACAATAATTTTAAGTGATAAGGAGTTTTTAAACATGTACGAGTATCTATGTTGCGTTTGAAATTTTCGAGCACAAATTTTGGTATTATTGATACAAGCACTTACCTATTTACATCAACATGCCAATATTTTGTAATTTAAGTAAAAATTAATGGGTATGTACTGAAATTAATTTTATGGCGATTTGGTTTGTAGTTATTTTATTAACTATAGAATATAGCTTAGTATATAAATATTCATTAGTGAAGCAGAACACACCCTACCCACTATATTAAAATACCCATTTGCCACTGCAAATGTATTTTTTTTAATCAGCCAATTGCAAATGACATTCAGAAAAAAAGTTCCGTATCAACATATCTACCTACATACATATGTGTGTAGGTAGGTACCTTCCTGCAATATTTGAGTTAATTATATTTATATTCTTCAATGAAATAGAATTTATATTGATAGTGTCTGTTTAACTATTTAATATCTGATACTTTTTTACATTTATGTGAATATATGAATTTTCGCGGCTTTTTTTTTAATTCTTGTGGCCGACGTTTCAAAAGCTTTACATGTAAAGTAAACATGGTCAAAAACCATAAATCTCTCCCTTGACTTTATGCTGTAAAGCAAACATAACAATCACATTGGGAACAAAAAATAATAATAATAATAGCGCGAAAATTCCGAAAGTAGGTATTTTTATTTCTTTGTCATATGCGAAGATTAGATGGCACTATATTGATACCAAATTGCATAGGTACTTAGTAACTAAGTAAATTATACGAACAAAAATAAGAAAATTACTTATACCCACAAATATCTCATTTCTTATAATAATGAATCAATTTATTTTATTGAAATAGATATAAAAATCGGGCTTAAAGGTAATTTTACGCCTTTTTAATGTCACTACATTTTTTATAAAATCTAGCGACTCACCCTCGCTTTGCTCGGATGAGTCCCTAGCTTGTGTGCTTTAAAAATAAATTTTTTATCATGTTTGATACACTAGTATTATACTAGCATAATCGCAATTATAAATAAAAGAAAATGTAAGTACACCCCCCCCCCCATTTATCTTACGTATAACTTTGTCCTTCCCGCTATAAACAGAAGCCTATGTCACTCTTCAACCGTCCAACTACCTGTACACAAAAAATCACGCCAAACCGTCACTCCATTTCGACGTGAAAGAAGGACAAACAAAGAAACAAATAAACACACTTTCACATTTATAATATTAAACGTATGGATTAAAGGTAGGACAGACGAACGGCAAGACAGACAGACGGCGCGGCGCAGACTTGATATTAGAATTCCATCTCAATTCTTCACTATAAACTCCAAAAACTCTAATATAGATTATTTATGAAAACCATTTTATATTGTTTACTATTGTCCCATGCCACTTGTTGGGCGTTGTTTTACATGCGCGAGTTCTTGATTTTAGGTCAATATAAAGTGCACCTCTCTGCGCCGGTCGGGGAGCGTATAAAACATTCCCGATGCATCCCCGGGCCGGCAATCAATCTATTGATCGGGGTCGTCTGCTAGGACATTGCACATGCTATTTACCTCTTGTATCGTATAATACATGCGCATAAAACTTGCATGATATAATATTGATTTAGTAATTTTTTGGTTGTCCCAAAGGATCGACATATAAAATAAATTAAAATGTGAAATTAATATTTGGATATTGAGATAAAATAAAATATGTCGCATCCCAGGACACAAGTGTCATGACAACGTCAGGGCTACTCGAGTGGGAGCTATCGCTGCCATCGGACCAGATCATCTCCCATGGCTGGTACCACGGCGCGCTGAGCCGTACCGCTGCAGAGGCTCTGCTGCAACAGGACAGGGAATTCCTGGTCAGGGAGTCGTCTTCACAGCCTGACAACTACGTGCTCAGTTGCCGTTCAAATGGCCAGCATTTACACTTTGTCATACAAAGGGTAGGTGTGGCATTTATTAATTACTTTCTATCATAGAAGATTAGAATTAGAGAAAAATAAAATAGGTATTTTTTTAAATAAAATGGTTTTATTGAAAAGAAAGATAATAATAAATGTAGATAAGGAGTTATATATTTAGTACTCAGGTTACGCCCTATGATTTTATACTCTTTTAGCTTTTAGTACATTATCTACATCATTATTTTTTCTTTTCAATAAAACCGTTTATACTTTTTAACAAAAAAATAAAAACCGACTTCAAACAAAAGCACTAAAAAGTAACAAATAACTGATTGGTAGTTTTCATTTACTATACATACCTAATCAAATATTTTCGAAGTCGGTGTGCTTAGCTTTGTATGGGCTGGCACCGATTTCGAAAATATTTGATTAGGTGTATGTATTTAATAGGTAGGCTTTAATTACTTAGCCAAAGCACACCGACTTCGAAAATATTTGATTAGGTATGTATAGTAAATGAAAACTACCAATCAGTTATTTGTTACTTTTTAGTGCTTTTGTTTGAAGTCGGTTTTTATTTTTTTGTTAAAAAGTTTTTATTTTTCCCTTTTTAGTGTAGACAGTAGTAGCAATGTAAGGATTCTAACGTGTTAGGCTTGTCAAATCAAACAAAATAAGCCCAAACTCAAAGTATCTACTATTAGCCGTTGAAGAGTTCCACCTATCCACCTTCTGGCCTTGCCATCAGATCAGGTCAACAACACCGAACCACTGTACTATCAACGGAAATAGAAATACTTGCAAAGTTTCAAGTCAATATGACAATTAGAAGTACGTTAAATTCATCATTAGTTGTTTTTCCACCCTTAGGGGTGGTATTTTTTTTTGAAATTTAAATGGGACCAATCTGGAAGTACACCCTTTCAAACAAAACAAAAATTGTCCAAATCGGTTAATAAATGACGGAGTTCTGAGGTAACAAACATAAAAAAAAAAAAAAAAAAAAAAACATACAGTCGAATTGAGAACCTCCTCCTTTTTGAAGTCGATTGAAAAAATACCTCGTTTATTTCCAAGTTTTTATTTAAACTGTCTAAACTCTAGGATCCGCCATGCACCGTGTTATAAAGCACTTTCATTTTATACCCATATTGAGGAGATTATGAAAAAATATGTAATCCGCGTAAATTTTGTGGCGGCGGCCATCTTGGATTCACAGTGATACTAAATATATTCAATTGTATTGTCATCAGAACTTAAGATATGTACAAAATATCAGATTAATCAATTTCAATTACTAAAATTAACTCAAACAAACAGGGCACTCTAAATAAAACCTCTTAATAATATATATACTACTTACTACTCAAAATAAAATAGGGCCCACTTCGATAAAAGATAAAAAATTGTTTAGAATTAACTGATGATGATGATGTTCTCCTAGCCGATTCCGGCCACGGCGGCCAATCTCAATGAGATTAGCCAACTGCGCAGGAGATATTATAGTGCTCAAGTGTACGCGCAGACACAAGTGCACTCTCTATTCCTATCACTCTCATACTCCGGTGGGACGACCACTCGACACGACCGGTGAGAGTTAAGGCGCAGGACCGACGGCTTTACGTGCTCTCCGAGGCACGGGGGTGAAACACCGCCAACTTCCCAACTCCGGGCTGTTACTGAGACTTACTATACAGGAAGACTCAATAATTAAACTTGGCCCGACCCGGGACTCGAACCCAGGACCTCCGGGTGTGCAGCCGTACATGCTAGCCACTACACCACCGATGCAGTTATAATTAACTACTGAAGTACTAAATTAGGTAATAAACATTTAAAAAAATCCATATATTTAAATCTCACCTTTCCTGCAGTCATTTTTGGTTAGTTAACAAACGAATTAACCTTAGGAATGATAAAATGGCCAAAAAGGGTTTGTAATAAGATGGATAATTTTAAGTATTTTTCACCTCGCTCTCTTTGCGATTTTAGCCAAAGTAGCCTATTAAGTACTACTTTTTTTAATGATTATGAAAGTTGAGAGTCTGGAAAACTTTTGAGACCTAGTCAGGAATCATGAAGTCACCTGTTTAAGTTTTTAATTTAAAGTTGAAAGTTTAAGTCATAATTCACCCAACGTAAATTTTTCACTTTACCTCAACATTTTCATAATTTCCATCAAAGTTACAAAGCTGATTATTTTCACACACAACAACTCTTCATACCTTTGTCTATATATAATATCTATTCCATATATATATAATAGTCTATCTATTCCATACTAACCGTTAATAATTTTACGGAACTATCGAAAGTTTTAAATACTAAAGTTTGGAATCAATTATAAATTATGTTTTGTTCTAGATAATAGTTCATCCAGATACAGTTTTTGAGAGGTATCAATACCAGTTCGAAGACGAGGCATATGACACTGTAGCAGACTTAATCACATCCTACGTAGGGTCAGGAAAGCCCATATCAGCAGCTTCCGGGGCTCGAATACAATATCCTGCAAATCGTGTAGTACCTTTGACTAACTTTATGTCCGATGATTCTAATGCCATGGTGTCACCAAATGGCGAAAGCAATTATGGTAACGCGTATAGCCTGTATAGCCACTTTGCAGCCAAACCCGGAGCACAACTTAGAGTGCCTTTCAAAAAACAAAGATCCCATTCTTTAACTCCGATAGACATGACGCAACATATAAGCCATGGAAAAAGTGCAAGTGCGGATGGTGTGATACAAAGTCAAACAAGTAAACACGCTAAAGTGTTCTCCAGCGAGTCTAATTCAGGCTCCAATACGTGGGATGCAAATTTACCAACTAGTCCACCCGCAAAGCCAGCAAGATACGATGGACCTAAGGCAGATGACAGAAGGCTAGAGTTACATAGACTTTACCATGTTTCTGGTTCAGACTCTGGAAACGGATCTGGTGACTCCACACAGAGCTCAGCTCACAGCGATCCTAATAAATCAAGATGTGATCCAGATTACTTGGCCAATACCCCAACTATTAAACAGCAATTTGATTACGAGCTAACAGAAGCCAAGTTGTTACAGTTAGAAAACTTAGACTACACGGTGGAGTCTAGGATAAATCTTGAAAATTTTCAATCTCAAATAATCACAGCCGGGTTAACCAAGCCTCTAGAGTCGGAAACGTTACATACAATCAAGCTGCTGCTACGCACGTCTGGTCCACGTATTTTAGCAAATCATATGACAAAAATTGATCTCCATTTCTTACTCGAAGACTCAATCCAAATTGAAAGACTTGATAAAACTGCATCAGGCCTGGAGTTATGTTTCCTACCTCAAGGACGATCACTACGTTTAGACATCATTGAAAGGTAATAATAAATATAATAGGTTCTCCCTGCAGCTTCTCGCATGGTCTACTTAACTAACTCAGATGTGTATAGCTGCCGTCCTAGAATGAATAAGAATATACCTATTAAAGTGTTTGACATTTTAGAGTAGAAACATTTCGCCTCCTCGTGGCGGTCACCGTACTGACTTGCCAAACGGACAGACAGAGAGCTGACATTATTAACGACTGGATACTTCTAGCAATAGAGACGAAAACAGCATTGGGAAATCTTTACGGCTTCTCAGCTATTATGTTTGGGCTGTGCATGCCACAGGTAAGTTAAAAAAATATATTTTATACTTAAAAGGTAATTCCACAGGTTCAAGTTTCTTAGAGGTACCCAGAATATCTATATATCGCAAACTGCATGTAGTGTAATAAATAATTAATATTTTATAAGGTATTCATAATTTATAAAAGCATTTGGTATTTAATAAAATTGTACCTATGGGCACTGGGCTGAAACATAGTTTTATATTTGAGACCCTTTGGCGTAGCCTTCCCTTCATGTACCCGAACATAGGCACAATGGAAACATCCGAGCAGCTCGTGAATACACGCATATTTAGCTTAATTGATAGAAGCCATCTTATTTCATCTACGGTAAGTCATATTTCAAACATAACTAAACATATTGTTGCTTGAATATAAATAATAAAAGCATGATGAATGGCTACTATAACTTATAGTTCATCCGCTGTGTGGTCCCGGCGGATTTAAAGAATAAGGCCACCCTGTAGTCCCATGGGTGTCGTAAGAGGCGACTAAGGGAAGGCATAGTGACCGGCCAACATCGTGGGCATAGAGCGGCTGCGGTGGAGGATAGTTAGTACTTACAATATAGTTCAACAAGCTGTAATAACTGAGTTCCTTCTGCCCGCTTCGGTGCATTAAAGTTTCACATTAAGTAATGTGCCACAATTAAACATGTTTTCAAGATGTTCGTCGATCACTGTTGCGGAAATGAATTTATACCTTTTTTCTTACAAATAGTGGATAAAAATTATTTCATTGAATTTTTAGGATATGGCGAATACCAAAGTCGTCGTCCCAGTAGATATGAGGGTGGATACGCTGAAGACTCTTACGATTTGTAAAGTATAGACGTAATCAGATAGTTGCGCTCACAACACTAGTGCAATTTAGTGGCAAGGAGCTCGGATAACAATATAAAATGACTAAGTAATATAATAAATAATTACTTTAAATAATTAGATACAATAAATTCAATATGGATATAGTAATAAAACGACTCATCATAACGAATTCATCTTGTGAGTACTGTGAAGTAGGTAAATCGTTCAGTTCCATTTTTCCTGACGCGACAGTGCAGGATCCAGAGCTACTAACATTTGATATAAACAGTTCACGATATTCACTAAAGTATCATTTTAAAATAAATAACGATAAGTTTTTGAGCACAATTATAACATTGAAAGTTAGTCTTAAAACTTACTTAAATGATAAATCATTCAGATGTAGAATAAGTAGTTAGTAGGGTCAGTAGTTCACAAACATACAGGGTCGGCTTTAACCATCTAGGTGCCCCGGGCAAAGCATTCATTTGGCGCCTTTTGTATTTCCATAGCGACTTACTTTCACTTCGCTCGGGTGTTCGTCCAGTGGTGGAAATTCGACAATAAAGATTTTTTCGGCCGCGTTCCACTAATTGTATATCGGGGGAAGTGCCGTTAGATTTTAGTGGGTGGTACTGGCTTTTTTAGCCAGTGAGTCCAACATACAAATTGTACCTATATATTATGAAAGTGGTATGCGTAGATTGCGTGCATTTCACGCGTGTTAGATATGTTAGGTGTTCAAAATTCGGCGCCTTCTGTCATTCGACTACCCGGGTCGCCCCCTCCTAAAGCCGGCCCTGCAAATATATGTAGCATGTAGATTGTAGACTGTAGTAGTGCCAAATGTAATCATACTCAAAGCTTATTAGAAAGATAAAATATAATATTAAATACACAGTAATTAGTGTAATTTTTTGAACACTACAAACCTTAGTTGATCTGAATTTTAGAATAGACGTTTTAATGTTTTTCGAGTATAGGACAAATGTTACATAATTTTAATATTTCAGATATCGCTCCTTTGCTGACATTGAGGGGTTACAGTTTCCCCAAGCGTAGGGAGGCGCAGGACCTGCTCAGCATCGGCGTGTACAGCGATGTCTCTTGCTTCGCATGGACCCCGCAGGAGCAGCTAGGACTGCTATAGACTCACAGCTTACATTCTTCTCGTACTAAGCAAACCTATACTACTATACAAAACTGAAGAACTAATAAAACATTTTGAATCTTGATGTGAATTTTAAATCTGGATGTATTGTATTGTAAGCTAATGATTACATTGTAACCTAAGTAAATTTCAACATTTACCCTGTCGGTACCCATAGGTCGTAGAAATTAAGATTTATGTCTGTGTTACTAATATTATGAATTAACCTCTGTGTTACAATTGTGAACATTAAATGTTTCAAATCCCAATGTAACCGTTTTTATTCCCCGACTGTTTCAGGAGGTACTTTGGTATATTTTTGATTTAAGATTTTCTTATTTATAGTGCAAAGTTTATATTTGTAAATATATTTATATGTGTAATAATATTTGTAGACCTATTTACAAGACAGATACACTGAATATAATTTCTTTAATACGTAGCTAGGATTGGCACATTGATGTAAGAGTTCCACCTACTTACATCTGGGTAAATCAACAAATATAAACTTTACATTATAAATAGGAAGTCGTAACTTTCAAACAGTAGGGACAACTAGATATACAGGTTATGGGTTTTGCCACAAGTTGGAGTGCCTGGAGAACGCGTGGAACATCCTGCGGCGCGTGTACACGGACAACGCCTTCATGTTCGAGGCCAAGCTGCGGCCGAGCTTTAAGATGATGAACGAAGGCACCAATCCGTTGCCGCCCAACACCACCACACCCTACGTCATCCCGCCCGTGCTCTGCTTCCACTTGTTCGGTGAGTTAACCTGAAGCGAAATTGCTTAATATTTCTTGCTTGAAGATTTCTCAGAGATGAAATATTTTCCCGCAGTTAAAAGTGCCCTATACGTTGACCTGCATAATCAGCTATCATCATAATGACTATATCAATAAGATTTTCCAAAAAATATCTAATGTACAGATTCGACTCAGAATTTAATTATTTATATAGATACATAAATATATGTATTAGGTACTGTGTCATAAATTCCCAAGGAGGGTTGATGTCAGGTAAGCGGCTGGTTGTAAAACTTTTGCCAAATCTTATCAGCAGTACGGATGTACTGCGTCGACCCCAAGTGATAAGGAAATGGGCAGGGAGATGATGATGATTACTGTGTCATAAATTCTAGTAAGTATTCTAATAAGTAGATTTTCCCATTATCTTTTTCTTAAAGTACTACTGATGTTCCCAGATGGCGACGGCGGAGGACTGATGCAACCGGATGACTCGTTTCCGACCAGCCTCATGAATGGGCTGGAGTTCGACTTCAACGCGACGGCCGCGCACCTCGAGGCGGCCAGGTACTTTCCGCAACAAGTCGACATGTTTAAACGCAACGCGCGAACGGTCGTGCAGGAGATGTCTTCCCTCGGACCTACCCTGGATCCGATCCTTCTGGAGCTATTCAAGACCGAGTTCCACATAAACTTTTTGTGGGGAGAGCGGGGTGCACTGACCAGTCCTAACACACGGTTCGCCCGGCTGACGGACATTTTGACCGCTATGGCTACTAAATTAGCAAACCAGCCACCAGACAGCGAAGAGGTCTTGTGATTACACAAAATGAACATTTTCGGATCATATCACTGGAGTATTTATAATTTGATCGCTTGTAGGATGATGCGGCACGATGTTAATGCCTCGCGCTGCATGGCGTAGATGTACTATAACCATATTCACTACAAAGTCACAACTGAGCTAGTGTTGCCAGGTACACTACCCATATGGCATACATGAATACTTTCGATTGTTTCTTACAGCTACTTATCTGGCGAAAATTAAAAGAAGTTCTAAATATACGTCAAAAATATGCATATCTGTGTCGAATATAAAATGACTAGTCTAGTCTACTACAGTCAGTGGGTACGCGCCTGGCAGCATTAACATTATGCTAAATGATTATAATGTAGTAATATACCTAATAGTTAGAACATACCTCGATGTATAACGAGTTAGTGAAATGAAACAACTTCCATTATATGCTGCGATTTAGAAGAGATTTACAAGAAATTTTGTAAAGTACATATTTTATATAATTTATACATATACATACCTAATAGATGTACCCACAATTCGGCGCGACGAAGCGCGGCACCGGCACAGACGAGCTGCTCACGTGATATTCGCATTTACTATATTTAATACCTACATACTACCTACATATTACTAAATAAAATAGTGTTTTTATTATTAGGCGTTCTGGGTTTATCAAATAACTTCATTAAATTGTACTTCCAGAATGTTACGTGTTTTTGCAAAATATGCGACATTTCTATTTAAATTTAAATGTAAGTAGTTTATTTCCGCAATGCGAATGTAATTTTTTTCATCTATTGCGACATTTCCGTTTGTATGTGAAGATTACACAACTATTGTAATAATATATAGGTATGTAGTCGCGAAGCTCAGTCTTTATTGTACCTAGAGGTTATCTCACTCTTTATTTTCAAAATATGTGGATTATGTGTATTTTTAACTGACTGCGGCGAAGCCCAAAGGAGGGTTGTTTGACCAGTATGTATGTATGTATGTCTGATCCTATGTTCCTTCGTAATTACTAATCAGAATGGCAGATCCTATGCGCCAATTTGTATCTTGAAAAAAAATTTTCATCACGAATATATCGGAGTGTCAAAAATATATACGACCTATACGTACTAGTAATTTAGGATAAAAAATGGTTAAATAAAACTAAATATGTCTAACATATGACCAAAACTAGAAAGATGTAAACAAAAAAAATACTTACAAAAAAAATAAAAAAATCTGACTGCGTAAAAAGTGAACTAAAAAGAAGAGAACAAGTTGATGAACGAACATAGTATTTTGTAGTCGGATAAGTACATAATATGTATATGTTTTAGAATAGCTGCGTATGTATGTATCTTCGACTTCATAATATTATGTTCCGTTATCAACTCGTTCCCTTCCTTTTAGTTCACTTTTTACGCAGTCGAGTTTTTTATTTGTATAATTTTTTTTTTCAATTTTGTATGCTCCGAACTCTCTCATAGTACCTACCTATTTCATCTGTCCATTGTGGATTTTATCGAAGTTTAGAAAAAAGCTTGAATGACGTCTCGGACGTCATCATAAACTTCTGCGATAATTATATTTGTTTAGCAATGTGGCTAAAGTAGCAATGAGGTAGCCTCTAGCACACCTCTGACCGCACAAATTGGAGTGAGTCGGTGCCGGACCAGCGTTCTATTGATTTTATATTTTTATACTATATACGATATGATGTAGCGCTTTCCGCTCAGCGCTGCGGGGCATTCACATGCTAAAGCACACAAGAGGCAGGACCGAATTAACCATGCCTGGGGCCCCTAGGCAATACACCTCGGGACCCTTTAATTCTATTCTAACTTATTAAAATTCATTTTTCGTAATTACGCGATTGGGTAGATTACATAGAAATCTAACTGTTGCATTTGTCCTCATGGTGGAATTTTCACCTATTTTATAAATTAAATTTTCACTCTATGATACATTTTCAATTTTTTTTTCCGTGCGTGGGGCCCCTAGCCGATGCGGGGCCCATGGGCAGTTGCCTAAACTGCCTTATGGATAATCCGGCCCTGACAAGACTACACACACACTAAGTCTACAACAAGGGACTACAGTTCTTGGCATATGTGAATGGTCCCTTGGTGGAAATGTTTGGAATTGTTACATAGTTTAGTATTTATACATTTTTTAAAGATTTATTAAGTAATGATGTATAATATTTAAGCGAACGGAACGGTTTTCATTGCAAGAGGAAAAGCAAAAGACTCATCTTGTTTTGGTAAATTCTAGGTAAAGTGTATGTTGATGCATAAAATAAAAATGTATATTATTAAATATATAAAATAAATATATAAGATTTAACATCCTTATCTTTTAAAAATACCTTTACGTGAAGCGGATCAATATTTTTACCTAAGAATATAGCCAAGCTAAAAAAACCATAAAGAAAAATCTAAAAATAAAAACTTTTAAAAAATAAAAAGCCGACTTCAAAAAAACACTAATAAGTAAAAAATAACTGATTGGTAGTTTTCATTTACTATACATACTCACCTAATCAAATATTTTCGAAGTCACTGTGCTTTGCTTTGTATCGGCTGGCACCACCACCACTAGCGACTTATCCTTGCTTCGCTCGTGGGTGTCCCCAGATACGTTTTTTTTAAACTGGACCCTAATTCTTTTACTTTAAAATAAAAGTAGCCTAAGCTACTCCTTATAACATCAGCTATCTGCCAGTGAAACTCCCGTCAAAATTCCATCCAATCTTTCTCATTTCTTATAATAATTCATTATTTATTTATAGGATTAGGTATATTTAACATTTAGTATTGAAACATCTCAGGAGGATTTTCCAGGAAAACAAATATTTGGCAATTAACAATTATATTTATTGTTTTCTCTGAATACTCATTTTACATTTATTAGAATGCGAATCACCGACTTTCCATTTGACACATCCAAATTCTACGTCAAATTCACAAACTGGCACATAAAATAACTGAATGTTATAGTATAGATTTCTCAGAGATGAAATATTTTCCTGCAGTAAAAACTATCCTAAATGTTGACCCGGAAAACCACCGATCATCATACCAAATTTTTTTAAAATTTGTCTATTGGTTTTCTCGTGATGCGGCCACAAACAGACAGAAAAAAAATCTAAAATCTATAGATTCGGCCTCTGTATCGATAATAATGTTTATTTCATTAAGATTTTCCAAAAATATCTAATGTACAGATTCGGCTTAGTTACAATTTTATTATAATATACTAGTAGAACCCGCGGCTTCGCTCGCGCTAAAACTACAAAAAATCTCTAAAAAGATAGTTTCATACAAACTTTCATCGCCTATTTTACTTCCTTATGAGAATTGACCTGTGAAACCTAAAAATGCTAAATCACGAATTTATTTAATTTTGTTAAAGTGCAATAATACCAAGTTTCCAGTAATTCTGATCATAAATATTTTGTTGGGTTGTATTATAATGTCTTTTTCCGTGGGAAAGAGATAATTTCCCACGGTAAAAAGTAGCCTATGTCGCCCTCCAGCCCGCCAACTATCTCCACACAAAACGCGCAAAAATACGCCATTCTGCTAAGCTGTTTCGACGTGAAAGAAAGACAAACAAACAAACACACTTTCACATTTAAAATATTAGTATGGATGTTATTGTAAAGTTTCATCAAAATCCAATCAGTAGTTTGTGTGTTCTAAGCTGTAAAAGTTACTGTAGTTTTTTGACCATCACACAGGAACTCTTTAATTTTCCGGGGTAAAAAGTATCTAAGATGTTGCCCGGGGATATAAGGTACCACCATGCACAATTTCATCTAAATCGGTTCAATAGATTCGGATATAAGCCCGTACAAACAGACAAACAGATAAACAAACAGACAGAGAAACAAAAAATTTGAAAAAAATATGGATTTGTCCTATTTGTCTTCTTACATCTCCCTGACTCGGTTTTTAGCATTTTTTTTCTATGTACAGACATTCGACCTCTACAGTTTTATTATATGTATAGATATAGGTTTTAAACGATAGTATCATTCAGGTTTATTATGTGCATAGGTTTTAATCCCAAACTGACATGACATGACTGCAAACAGTCGGTGAATTTCTGAGAGCTTCTGCGGCCGACGATGTACCTATATTTCGTTAGGAATGGGTTGATGATGAAATGAATGATGAAATAGTTAATGGTGATGAAGTTTCGAAAGGGCTGTAAATGAAACAAAAATTTACATATTATATTTATTTGGTGTTCAATGAAATACATCTGAAATGCGTAATATAATGCTGTCTTTACATGCTGTACGTCGCACAGAGGTGAAATTTACATAATATATGACCAATATTAATAAAAATTAAATTACTCTGATCAAAAAGTTTTCACTTATATTATTAGCAACAAGACATATGACGCCACCTATTTATTAGTTATCTGTCAAACGTTTGATACTTTTTATTTGATTACCAACACATTTGATTTGAACAGTGATTGCTTAGGGAATAATTTATTACAATTTTAAACATTTATTTTAATAACGTTTAATTTTGTCAATATTAGGATTATTATAAAGAAGATATAAGTGATTAGCCGAATATAAGATAACTTGTATGTAAAATTCAGCTTTATTTTTCATAATACACATTTAAACTTTTATTTTTGACTAACTAAAGCGATATATAGACGTAAAAACACTTCCAATTTCACCTGTGTGCGTCGTACAAAAAAGAAAGTATCGCGGGACATGTCGTCACTTGGCTAGTTTGGCAAAAGTGGCCTCCACGGCACAATACAAGGCTTAGCTACTTAAAAAACTAAAAGAAGAAAAGTTTATACAAAGTCCCGTGAATACTCGATGCTCATGTAACCAATCATCGCTCGCCAGGCTTGCCTCTCCACCAAGTGACCAGCGGCCGACCTCACCAATGAGTATCCCTACAGAGAAAGCTACGTACAACCACGTAACGATACGCAAACGGTACACTAGGTACTACACGTCTGGGCGGTGTGTCTGTTGTGTGTCAACACACACGCACTGTCTGTTGACAAACCCGGTTTTATCCGGTTCGAGCTGTTGACAATGTCAGGGCGAGAGGTCACGCATAACTAAACTTACTAAAAATCTTCTCGTGGCAATCACGATTGCCTAAATGCTGCCATTTTTAAGCCAATATGGCGAACGTTACAAATTGGGGATCGATCATTTCCATAGTGACCCTTATGATATGGGCATCAAATGAAAGGGCTTGATGAGCGAAACACAATAAGCAATGTGATGTAATTGTAAATCCAATATAACGGACTCCCAAAGATGGCAGACTGCTTTTTTTAAGCACTAACATGATATGGATATCAAATGAAAGGACTTGATGGGAGAAACACAATAAGCAAAGTGTCGTCAATGTAAATCCAATATGGCGGACCGTTTTTTATGCACCTCTATCCTATGGATATCCAATGAAGATTTTGCTGAGAAGAATACGAAAAAAATAATAAAAAAAAAGTTAAAACATTTTAAAAAAAAACAAGTTTTTATTTAAATGAAAAACAACCTCAAAAAACCTCTTACGTGCGTACACAAACACACACACACTTCAGCAGTATAAAATGGACAAAAATTATAACGAAATGGCAACCACGGGAGGTCAAGAAAAGCCAAAAATAGAGTAGATGGAAACAACTGGAAGAGGCCGTGTCACAAGACAGGTCACGCTGCAACTAAAGCGGTAAATCCAATGTGTTAGATTTTAAGTTAAAACAGTGTGTATAATATATATATATATATATATATATATATATATATATATATATATATATATATATATATATTTAGTATCAGCAATAAAGATATAATGAATATATGTTTTTGCTTTATATTGTTACGCACCGCTAGTTTAGTCGAAGGCATCGAGCGTGTTGGTACAACTCCTGTGGTGTTCGTCTACACAGGTGCCAGGCGGGCAGGAAAAGTATGATAACGAATATATTTGACGTATGATTTTCTCTTGTGTGTATAATTTTTTAATTACCGACAATATAACGATTATAACAGGAAAAGTGTTTCATTGTTTAACAATATGTATTTACTGAAATTTCAATAGAATTTTAAATCCACAGCTCTGACGTTTATGTAGTAGTATACTGATCGTTGCGCAGTTGTATAAAGCATTGTCTCACAAGCTGTACAGCGATGTGCTCTCGTTTACAGAAATAAATATCCTCACTTTATGTTACAATATAACAGAGATACCTTGTCTAGGCCACGTGTGCTTAGTTTAATTCTACTTATCTCTAACTCCGGATATATTCTATTGTTTAGGATTATAGTACTATTTGTTTAGTATTATAGTATGGGTATTTTATTCGATCTCAAAAAGGCTAAGGCATATATTTCCTAGGGGCACTTTGTGAACATTAATTTGCTATTCTTAAAAAAGGCCAAAAGTAATTAATGCATCACAAATAATTGCAACTTTCAGTGAGTTCTTTAAAAATATATATTTCAAATCCATTTAAAATTTATAAGCGGTATAAATTATAACTATAGAAAGGTATAACAACTTGCATTGTTCTATAAAAAAAAAAACGATCCTAACAAACGTTATTATGAATTGTAGAAACAAAATAAATATACGTATATGATCATATCGTAAATTTAGAGGAAATTTCAACATTTTGTTATTCTGTGTCTCATATAGCTTGCATGTCAACAATTATTATATTACTATAACATTACCTGCTTATACCGCGACGCACTCTTGTGTATACATTGCAGCAAAATTTCAGTTTTAAACATTTATTAGAAATATAGAAATATATATATATATATATATATATATATATATATATATATTGCGTTTCATTCGAACGATAAGTTTGATCATTTTTCGACATTTCGAAGCAACGACGAGCAAATTGTCACATTTTTATTTGCCTTTAAATATTAAATTAAAAAAATCCCTTCACTGAAATATTTTGAATTATTTACTTATTTATCTTAAATAACAATTTCTTATACTAATAGAAATGTTACATTGTACGTCAACAATATATTATATTATTATAACATTATATAATGCGAATGGTGCGTCGCCACCCAGTATTTAAATATAACTTATTTTATTAAACGATCAGTATTGCTCTGTTACTGTGTACAGTTGGCAGTACACATGCATACACTCAGATACGACATCTGGTAATTTCGATAGATCGGTACTCGTGTGTAACCAGCTTTATAATTGCTATAAAATATATTCTTTCACTTATAAAAGCTACTACACTACTAAACCGACCGCTAGCTCGCGACGTCACGTCTCTTAAAGATTACATAAACCACATAGCTAGTTTAAAAAAATATATCGATGTGAACATTTTCAAGGCCGATATGCATATTGCTTTAGCTTACCGATCGTCAACCATACCACGGTAATGTTATACATACAGTATTGTGACTCAGCCCTGCCCTTGAAATAATTACCTACAGCCGCGCGGCACGTACCCACACGACAGGGCTGCCCGCCGGCCAGATTTTCATTTCACCTATCTACTTGAGTTTCTTTCTAGTTTTGTGATTGCAAATATTATTTTTTTTATTTAAATAATATTATTCGTAGATTTAATCTAAAAGAATCTCAAATTTATAGGTATGTGACCCTTATAAATTTGAGATTGAAAAATATTTGCGCCTCGAGTGAGACTTTTTATTGTTAAATTTAATAGTATAAAAATTCTGCATTCGGATAAAAAGTTTAATTAAAAATACTTTAATTTTTATTTTTAATTTTATTAATTATTTTTTATTTTTAAAACCCTTCTCGATACTTTTTAGTTTGACATTAGCGAAGTTACGGGAGGAATAAAATGTTTATTTTTGTATCCAATTATACGATCTGGCAGCCTCGGACGGTTGTCTACCGAGTGTATACAGAACTCTAGGCGCGTAGGTATACCTCGATTTACGACCGTTTGTACGAAGATAGAATACCGTATATATATCATTACCGTGACCCTACCCATCCCCTAAGTTACAACCCCATTCCCCCCCCTTCCCTTCCCCGCTTTTCCCTACCTCCCCCTGCTGCCCTGGTTGGCCTAACGTCAATAAGATCTTTCCATATAAAATATATATAAGCTTAGTGTACTTAATGATTGCTTTTCTTGCTCATAACATACGTATCTATCTACCGCACCCCTACACTCTTTATTTTAATATAAAAAAAAAATTTTCTTTTTGCTATTTATATTCTTCTAAATATAATACATGTCAACGACAACAGTACGGGAAGAGAGGAATTGAACGAAGTATGTGTTTCATACTAAAGTGCGAGAATAAAGTAATATGAAAGTATGCTACATAAAAGACTATCTGTAAAGTTAGTACTTATTGTACTGAAAAATATTACACCTAAAACATGTCGATACAAAAGTAACAAAAACTTTAAACTATTACCCTTAACATATAAAGACGAAAAATGTCTTTTCATTGTTCTAAACGCATTCGGTCCGCACGTGTTACATTTCTATACCAAATGTAAAAAATGTATATATATAAATTTCTTTAGCATATAAAGCCTATGTCGATCCGGACCTTGTCTCAATGTCCTGTACATTGTATGTGTAGAGGTGCTCGCTCACGCCACACACAGGCCACATACAGGCCATGCTCAGGCCACGCTCAGGCCGTGCCCAGGCCCTGTTCGGGCCAGGCACCGGCAGTGTCCTAGAACTTGAGGGATTTGGCAAAGAGTGCGACGGTCGCTTGCGTCTTGTCGCCGTTGAACCGTCTCAGCTCGACGACCGCCTGCAACGAACGCGATACTTGCTATAATTACATGATTTTAGTTATATACTAGCGACTCACCCTTACTCCGCTTGGGTTCGTCCCTACTTACGTTTTGACATTAGTATAGATTTTTCAGAGATGAGATATTTTCCCGTAGTAAAAAGTAACCTATATCACCACCTATCATCATACCAAATTTCATCAAAGTTCCTCCAGTGGTTTTCCGTAATGCGGTAACAGATAGACAAACAGACAGACACACAAAAATTCTAAAATCTATTAACCTCTGTAGCGATAATAACGTCGATTTCAATAAGATTTTCCAAAAAATATTTAATGTACAGATTTGGCTTAGTTACAATTTTATTATCTATACATAGAGGCCGAATCTACTGTTTTATGTGTGTTATTTTTGTCTGTCTGTCTGTTGCCGCATCACGGAAAAACTACTGGACAGATTTTAATGGAATTTGGTAAGATGATAGCTGGTGATCCGGGTCAATATATAGGGTACTTTTTACTGCGGGAAAATATCTCTGAGAAATCTATACTAAATGTTAAAACGTAAATAGGAACGAACCCGAGCGCAGTGAGGGTGAGTCGCTAGTCTATACTAATATTATAAAGAGGTAAAGTTTGTGATTTTGTGAATTGTGAGTTTGTGACGTTGTAGGGGGTAATCTCTGGATCTACTAAACCGATTTAGATGAAATTTTGTAAGAAGATAGTTTGAGACCCTGGGAAGGACATAGGATACTTTTTATCCCGGAAATCATCCGAAATAAGGGGCTGAAAATGAGGATGAAAGTTTATATGGAGAAACAATCTAGGAACGAACCCGAGCGAAGCGAGGGTGAGTCGCTAGTATGTATATACAAGGGTCAATTTTCCGAGGTAACGAGTCGGGGAACTGGGATCAGTTTTAATAAAAACAAGAAATATGTCAAACATAATTGAATAAATATTTTTAGCAAAAAAAAAATCTATAGACTAAATAATGTATAATATATAAAAATGTTAAATCAAATACAAATATCTTTTTTTTTTAAATACACAAAGTCATCGATTTGTTCTACCTACTGCAGTTTCAATACTTAGTCACAGAACACAACTGTATATTAAGAACTAGTCGAGTGTGTCGAAGGCTACCTGTTCCCTGGTGAAGCCCAGCGCCACGATTTCCTCCACATCCGTCTCGGAGAAGCGGTCGGTGGACAGCACGGTCAGGCTCGGGTTGGCCAGCGGCGGCGCTGCTGGCAGGCATGGACTCATTATGCTACTGATTACATACTGTGCTGATTTTAGAAAGTTATTATAATAGGTATGTATTATTTATTAGTTCCTGAGCGACCGCGCTTCACTCGGAGTTTTCGAGCAAAAGTACTATTTTCTTTTTAATTTGGCTTAAAACAAAAAACTTGAATACTAAATAATAATAAAAGTAAAAACTGTATATCCGACCGGGATTCGAACCCTGTGATTGTCAATCTTGCGCCTTGGCCGCTTGACCACGATGCTTATGCCCGAGCGTACGATGCTAACGACCATATTTTGCGTGGAATAATACGAAAGAAAACCGCATGAAAATTCGAGAACACGCGTTTTTCCAGACATAAGACTAATCTAGATTGATTTTTCGCCCCCGAAAACCCCCACATACCAAAGTTCTGCGAAATCGTTAGAGCCCTTTACGAGATCGCCGATATATTTAAATAAATATACAAGAATTGCTCGTTTAAAGGTATTAGATATACTAGCGACTGACTCGTTACGTTTCAACGGTGAGTATCTTCTCAATCTCCATCTATTTCCACCCAAAAAATCACGCCAATCCATCACTGTGTTTCGACATGAAATAAGCACAGACAAACAAACACAGTTTCACATTTATAATATTAGTATGGATTTTGAATGGACGTTTGTGAAATGAAACTAATTTATAAATTAAACATACAAATTCTTTCACTTTCCTGTGTACTTAATCTCTTCGGTTAAAAGTCGTTTTACAAGTAGACAAAGATAGCAATTACATTTTGCATATGTAATGTAAAACATGTTTACGTATGTCCGAGTGTATTCCAAAAAAAATGCTAACACTGAAATGATTTATCCCATGACTTTCATCCTGTATTTTACTGACTTTTTCTTTAAAACTTCAGTTTTTTTACATTTTAAAACAAATAAACTAATTAAACATTAACTTTTTACGTTTATAAAACATAAAAACAAAAATTGGTATATTTACTTAAATATTGTAAATTTTGGTAAGAAAAGCAGTGATTTTTTTAGTGTCCCATGCTTCATTTGCAATTCTGATCAAAACTTATCCATTATCATTCTATTTTTGTTCAAGAATTGTGTGTTAACATAAACTATGCTTATGCCAATGATAATTTAATAAATGTTACACTCGACATACCATTGGGTATTATTGAAAACTTATTCAAACTTTGTGCCGTAATGGAATTACTTAGTTACCATACCTTACCTGTTAAATACATAAATTTCTAGCTAAAACTTTTGTTATTAAAATTGATTTTTTTTATGATGATACATATTTTATCAAATTATTTAAACAACAAAACCATTTTTCTTTTATATTTTTTTACGGATGGAATTCCATTACGCAACAAGCAAATTATTTGAAAAACACTTAATATAACATGTAGTAAAGAGTAAAGTTAAGAGGGCGAGCACTCACCAACCCTGATGCTCTGCGCGGGCGTGACGGGCGCTGTGCTCGACGAGCCCTCCGCACTCGAAGCCTCTGTACACGACCAATCACGTTAACAACACTGTAACGCTAGCAAATTACATCAATACATAAAATAATGAAACTGAAGTGTACTACGGAATAAATGTATCTAAATGTCTAAAGTAACATAAATACTACTTATACTTTAAGTTATGAACGATCAACAACAATCCTAACGTATGTATGTAAGTGGATGAGTACAGAATCAATAAGCGCAGCGCGAGTTATTTAATTGGCATCAATCCAGCAAAGCCTATGCGTTTGATTGTTTTCAATGACTATTACTACTTGTTAGACCGTGAATTAAATATTTTGTTGACATTCGCTATTTTATATATTCCGATGACCTTCATATCATTTCCATTCGCTAAAATTTTACAGGGGGATAGAGGTAGCTCGCGTCCATAGAAATTACCACCTGTCCTAGGCCACCCTACGCGTGCCCCCTGGGTGGTGCCAAACACAGCAACAACGCCAAGTCACAGGCGGCGGTCATTTAACCTGTTAAGGCCACAGCAGACCTAGGGAAGTTAAATGCCCCCTAAAATAGATGCAATCCTGCCCTGGGAAAGTAGTATGTGTGTTTCTCCCAACCTAGCAAGCCTCCATAGATAGTATTGTATAGTATAGAAGATGTCAATAAATTAACTGAACTAGTGGAAACTGTTGCAGATAAAAGTTCATTCACATATCGGATTACAAACAGAAACCAACTGAGAATCAACACCCCAGATACGGAAGCCTACAAAAGAATCATCACCAAATTCTGTGAAAGTGGCTTAATTGAACACACATTCAACGAAAAGGAAGAACGATTCTGCCGTATTGTTATTCGGAATCTCCACCACACAACACCAAAAAGTGAGATAAAGGAATTGAAAATAAACTGGAAACGCTGTCGTCGGGGAAATTATTAACAACAGATATGGTCCAGAGAAAAAACCTACCTCAACATTCTTTGAAAATCTCCTACCTTCAATCTGTAACCAAAGAGGATCCAAAGAAGAAAAATTCAATTGTACAGTGATAACGGTGTCAGCAATATGGGCACACAAAGAATTACTGTATGAGACCTTTCCGCTGCATGAAATGCGTCCAGGCACATAAAACCTCTGACTGTCCAAAGCGCGACTGACATACAGAGAAATACTTGGCAGAAAAATTAACAAATACGGTCATCGAAGACCTGATAGGCGAGCTATTGCAAAAGACAACACGAATCAAGATACAAATTCTCGAACAAGAAATACTACCCAACAATCTTCCACCATTGAGAAAGAAAACGAACCATACTCTTACGCCAAAACTACTAGAAACGTGCCAGACAAAGTGATCACAGAAAATATTATACCTAATGTAAACCAAAACTTAACAGTATTAGATACTCTCCTCACCAAACAAAGCCTCTACTCTAACGACTCTAATGAGCTTCACGACTACGCTGATAACGAAACTACAAGACTAACAGGCCTTGGACTAAGACTGGCGACTTGGAACATAAATGGACTCTCACCCAATAAAGATGAGCTCGAGGTACTAATGGCCGAGCACAAACTAGACATAGTCCTAATATCCGAAGCACACTGCACAGACAAAACCAATGTCAAAATCAAAGGGTTCCAGACATACACTACAAACCACCCAGACGGTACAGGTCATGCAGGTTCCGCTCATTATTCGGGTCAAAATAAAGCACCATCTACTGCCTGAATATAAAACCGAGTAAATACATGCTACTGTAGTCGCAATACAAGATAGATGAGGATACCTCAATGTCTCTGTTGTATACTGTCCATCAAAACATCGAATAGACTCCGACCTGTTTTCTCACTTCTTCTTAAGTCTAGGCGACCGTTTCATAACAGGAGGCGATTTTAACTCCAAACATGTACATTGGGGTTCAAGACTAATTACAAGAAGGGGAAGACAACTAAAGTTGAGTGTCGATATGAATCACTTAAGTACAATTGCCGATCACAATCGCATCCCGGACATACTCGACTTCTTCCTAACAAAAGGACTCTCCAAACAGTACATGAAGATCGAGTCATGTAGTGGTCATCTGAATCATATAACACATAGGTCATCTGGTCACACTCCAGTCTTAGTAACTATCAGCTCAACTATAATTGAAGTACAGAGATCCACAATATTATACAATTAGCATACTGATTAGCCCTCCTTCAGGGAACACATAAAAGAAAACCTTAACCTAAATATCAGACTCAAAGAAGCGGAGGAGATTGAAACAGCAGTACTACAATTTAGTAATCTCATACAAGTTGCCGCGTGGAGAAGCACGCCTACTATTGAACATAGGAACCAGCTCACAAACGTACCATTGGAAATAAAGATCATGATCCAGGAGAAACGTAGACTACGAAGAGTTTGGCAGCTGAGCCGTCATCCGCAAGACAAGACCGTCCTTAATAAAGCCATTGTAGAAGTGAAGGAAGCTATAAAGAATGCCAATGACTTAACAATGAAAGCAAAGTTGGAGTCTCTAACTGCTACTAAAGCCAGCTACTACTCGCTCTGGAAAATCACCCGTCACAAGGACAGACAGACCTAACGTATCAAAAACCCCAATAAAAAAACGGCTGGGTCAGAACAAGCCAAGACAAAGCGAACTTGTTTGCCGATCATCTGACAAGCGTTTTTACACCGAATATAAAACTGGACAACTCATCAGAAGATCTCATTCTAAAACAAGGCCTTCAAATGGCCCTTCTCCCTAGACCTGTGTCGCTCGCAGAAGTCATAAAAACTATCAAAAGGCTGGACAGTAAAAAGGCACCGGGTTACTATCTGATAACTAAAGAAGTATTGCTGGAACTACCGAGAAAGGCTATCGTCTTCATCACGATCATCTTCAACGCCATGTTACGAATAGGGTACTTCCCGAGTGCGTGGAAAGTCTCGGAAATCATCATGATTTACAAGGCTGGCAAATTAATGACCGAAAAAACATCCTATCGTCTAATTAGTCTGTTAGCTACTCTATCTAATGTACTGGAGAAGACAATACTTCGCAGAATTATGCCAAGCCTCTTGGAGCGCAAAGTGATACCAGATCACCAATTCGGCTTTAGAGAACGCCATGGCACAGTAGAACAATCCCACAGAGTATGTGACGCCATAGAAAGTCCTCAGAACAATGGGAATACTGCTCGTCAGCGTTTCTGCATATCCAGCAGGCATTTGATAAGGTCTGGCACAAAGGTCTACTAGGTAAGATCAAGCAGAATATTTCCCATTCATACTTTCCAATATTCAAATCTTGCCTCGAGGATCGCATATTTTATTTGAAAGAAGGTGACGCCACTTCTGATTTCCAAGAGATTAACGCCGGGGTGCCACAAGGATCTGTTTTCTGCCCCATGCTGTACACGTTGTACACTGCTGACCTACCGCTAACGCCAGGGACAACCACACCTACATTTGCAGACGACACCGTTATATCAGCAAGTAATAAAGAACCAAGACTGGCATCAGAAAGGCCTTAACAAAGTAAATGAGTGGCTCCAAAAATGAAAAATAAAGGCTAGTGCTGCAAAGTCAGTACAGGTGACATTTACCCTCAAAAAAAGAGATTGCCCACCTGTAAAGTTGGGCCAATGTACTCTACTCCACAGCGACCATATAAGAAACCTTGGCTTACATATTGATCGTAGACTATCCTGGAGGCACCACATCAAATGTAAAAAGCAGGAGCTTCAACTAAAATGCAACAGCCTATACTGGATGCTAAGAATGAACTCGAGACTCTCTTTGGACAACAAACTACTGATATATAAAGTCATCCTAAAGCCCACTTGGACATATGGTTTGCAACTATGGGGCAGCGCAAGCGATTCCAACATAAATATACTCCAGCGCCAACAGAACAAGATCCTAAGAACAATTGCAAAAGTACCATGGTACATAACCAACGATGAAGTTCACGAGCACCCTGAAATGAGAACAATCAAAGAGGAAATTCGAAGTTTGGCAGCTAAATACAAAGAACGGTTAATATAATTAAGAGACATCTTCCCGCGGTAAAAAATATCCTATATGTTGACCCGTATAACGAGCTATCACCATACAAAATTTCATCAAAATCGCTTCAGTGGTTTTTCTGTGATGCGGTAACAGACAGACAGACAGACAGACAGACAAAAATTCTAAAAACTATAGATTAGGCCTCTGTCAATAAAAATGTTTATTTCAATAATATTTTCCAAAAAATATTTAATGTACAGATTCGGCTTAGTTACAATTTTTAATATGTATAGATATATAGATATAGACTTATATAGCTTAAGTATCTACAAACTACGTAGTTATTATCATGTTGGGAATGTGATAGAGAACCAATCATTAGATTTTAGAATTATCGTCTGACTACATCGTTAATTTTCTTTTGAATGGCTAATAAGTTTCATTTTGAGCTACTCGTACGACATGTTCCCGTACACAGCGTAGACGAAGTCGTAGGCAGTATCTAATTCAATAGGAAACAAAGAGAAAATAAACATACACGCGCTCTCGATACCTATAAGATATTTATGTGCCCAAACTGTTATCGCAATGACATTACCAAGTATTTTCGCACGATATCTACTCTCGGTACTCCAATCGCTGACGACGTGATAACAATACATACTGGATGCTAAACTAAACTAAGCAAACTAAATAATATGTACACGAGGTAAATACCTCCCAATACAATTGTAATAACAAAATTACTTCAAAAATACAAACATTGCAAATTCTTAAACGGCTGAGAGATCGGCGACAGACGGGCGAGTTTTGTATACACTACATTGTAATACCAATATTAATCTTTTACCCTGATTATATACTTACAATGATGAGTTCAGAGAACTTAAGCAAAAACATAAAAAGGGTATATATATATATATATATGTATATATATATATATATATATATATATATATATATACAATTATATAATTTTAAGAGAAAGAGCTAAAAACTCACTTTAATTTCTTTCCAACTGGGGACAATCTAATAAAATATATTTTTTAAGTATGTTGGGACATTAACACGCAGCACCATCTAGTTCCATAGTAAGCTACGAGGCTTGTGTTATGGATACCAGATAATGGATACACTACACATAACTTTAAATACATACATATTATAAATATAAACACCCATGACAGTACAAACATTCGTGCTCATTACACAAATGAATGCCCCCAGCGCGACTCGAACCCGCCACCGCTGGCACAGCAAGAAGTCACTACAAACTGATCCAAACGTGTAGTCAAAAAGATGTAAACAATTTATCAAATAAATGGCCAACAAAGAAAACCAGACCATACATATTAAAATGTAAAATGACCACAGAGTTGTTAGTAGTGTCCATATTAAACGTATATTAAAACAATTTAAAAATTAATTTTTGTTTAAACGCCTATAATAGCACCAACCACAAGTAGGCAATACTTTTATTTAGAATTTAGTTGAAACTTTTAATTGTTTAACGTCTAAAACACATTACATAAATATATAGCGATAGTTAAGAATTTGGAATGATGATGATAGATGCAGTACAAGTAATTAAATGAGAGTAAGATAACTAGAACGTACCGATGGCGAGCTGATATCGAACAAAGTGTTTGTTTGTTCATACATTTAATCAACAGAGACACACTTAAGTGTATGTGCAGACACACAGACAGTCACCGTTTTCGACAACTTGTTATCTACAACAGGTATACCTACTCCTCTCTATACTATTATAAAGAGACAGTTTGTTTGAACGCGCTAATCTCAGGAAGTACTAATCCAATTTGAAAAATTCTTTTTGCATTAGATAACCCATTTATTGAGGAAGGCTATAGGCTATATATCATCATGCTAATTAATAGTCAAGGGAGCGGAGGGTAATCAAAAATGTCAACAAATCGGGCAGACTCCCATACATTATATAAAGTAAAGGAGTTTGTTTCTTTGTAGTATGAACGCGAGCAAAGCCGCGGGTTCTAGTATATATATAAAAATCAATTGCTGTTCGTTAGCCTCACTAAAACTGAGAAACGGCTGGACCGATTTGAATAATTCTTTTTTTGTTTTGTTGGAGGTGTTTCAGGGGTGATTTAAAAATTAAAAAAATAGGCTGCTGGAAATTCGAAAAGCTTAGAGATGTTTATTTTGTATGATAATAACTAACCGCTTACACGTACCTAGCGAAGAACCCGAGCAAAGCGAGGGTGAGTCGCTAGTTTAGAGATAAAGCCAGGAAGCTTTGTTGATCATCTGTACATCGTCAAAGATAGCTGTAGTGTACTACACTAGCTCGTATCTATCCTATAGGTTTTATAATTGTCACAACTTTATTAAAAACGTTAAGTTTGTGTGTGTGTGTGTGTAATTTTTTTTAAGTATAATTATTTGAAAAATCTATAAATCAAGTTATATATATATACACACACACACACACACCCACCGTGGATTCTAACCCACGATTACCGACGACCGACGCTCAATACGAAAACGAAATTAACGGATTATCAAAATATTAAGCAGAGAATAAAAATATTTAACTTTTATTAGTTTACGTGTATTCATTACATGTGTCTTAGAAATAAGTTGACTTTCTTATAAAAAACAGGTACTTGATGTTCGTACATAAAAAGGAAAACACAAAAATTTTAATTTACAAAAATACTACGAGTGTCTGCTACTGTAATAATAAAAATTGTAAAATACAAGCAATGTATGGCGATGCCCGATGGCGAGGCAAGTGCTCTCTCTGTACGGCGGCTTCGGGGGAATCGGACGACATATAACACTAAGTAGTATCTTTAGTATAACATTATCAGAAAATTGATATAGTACAATTAATTTAATAACACATTATAATTCGTAGAAAAAAATAACACGTTGAATATTAAGGCTACAATCTTACAGAATAAAATTATTTAAAAGATTATTATTACTATGTGATTATTTAAAAACTATTTTTACTAAAACCCTACAATTTGACATTAGGAACTAAGTAAGGAGGAATATATGGTAGTGTAAGGTTTCATTATATACTCGTATAAAAAAAGCTAGTTTGTTTACTAATCTTGTTTAAGCAAGATTTTAATTTAAAAAAAAATGTAATCATATATGAAGACTTCGCCACAGATATTGTACTTCACAAATCACCGTAATATGTTATTTCGAGATCGAATATACAATTAATAAAGCCGAAGCAAATATAAATAAACAAAACAAACACACGTCTGTTACGTTTTTTATTATCATTTGAAGGAGTACTATTTTTGTAGCGCAGTTCTGCCAGAACTGATCGGGTGCCCTCTCGGACACATTGAAAATATTTACGTTGTTACACACTCGGCCGCCGCCGCCCACGTTCCCTCTCACACTCATATACAGGGCTGCCAGATCGTATAATTGGATACGAAAATTATAAAATATGGTTATTTTATGTATATTTCATTTTAAGGACGTATTTTTATTGATATTTTTTATTCGTCACAGACTATTTCTCAACTGTTTTGTTAACTTGTATAATAAAATTTGATTTGGTATAATTTTAGTGACCCAGCGGTATAAAATAAGTTGGCTCTACTGGCAGCAGTGGTCTTTACCGGCAGCCCTGCTAATATATACCTACAAGTTTTTATGAATTTCTTTATATTTACTTGTCATTTCTGTTACAATTTGATCGATGACTTTTAAAATTTATAATTTATTGGTAAACAAAAAAAGTACTTTCCAATGTGGTTTGTAGACTATACGTTGGCATGTCTAGAGTCAACGGTTCCCAAATTGTGACCCTCGGAATCCTAAGGTTCCGTGGAAGAGTCACAAGGGTTCCAAGTTCCGTCCGAGAATTAAATAAGACGTGTAATTTTAGTGCTATCTATACAGATAAATAAAATTGAATTATCTGTTTGTAATGTCAAAATAACAGCTTTTTGAAATTATTTATGGTACTTATAAGAAATACTCAATTTTTAAAAATTTGTCTGTGTCTGTTTGTTCCGGCTAATCTTGATACGGCTGGACTGTTTTTGACGTGACTCTCACTGGCTACAGATAGCTGATGTTATAAGGAGTAACGTAAGCTACTTTTATTTTGGAAATTAAATTAGGGTTCTGCTGAAAAAAATTAAAACGTATCTAAAGACGCAGCCGAGTGAGGCGAGGGTAAGTTGCTGATATTATTACAAGTATTAATTTTTTAGGGTTCCGTACCCAAAGGGTAAAACGGGTTCCTATTACTAAGACTCCGCTGTCCGTCCGTCTGTCACCGGGCTGTATCTCATGAACCGTGATAGTTAGACAGTTGAAATTGTCACAGATAATATATTTCTGTTGCCGTTATAGCAACAAATATTAAAAAACTTAATAAAATAAACAATTAAGGGGGCTCCCATAAAACAGACATGATTTTTTTGCCGTTTTTATAGGTAATGGTACGGAACCCTTCGTGCGCGAGTCCGACTCGCACTTCACCGGTTTTTTTATAAATGATTTGTTCTTTCAAGTCAAACAAGGAAGTATTATACCTACAACACAATCAGTTTAGTTATTATCAAAATGGGGATCCGTGAAACAACAATATGATCAATTAGGGTTCCGTGGTCAAAAAAAAAATTGGGAACCGCCGGTCTAGACACTCAACCTTATATTTAAATATGCTAAAGATTTATTTTATGCGTTTATCAATATCGCGGTATTTGTTGTGTCAGCGTCGCCCACCTTGTCGCGACTTGTCTAGCGCGTCCTGCAGCTGGCGGTCCTGATGGTCTCGGTGGTCGCGCGCGGACTGCGCCAGCAGCTCGTCCTCGGACACTCCCGACAGCCGCGCGCACTCCGGCAGCTCCGCTTCGGGCAGGAACGGCGTCTCAGTGCCTGTAGTGCCAATGCGCAGCACGTTCTTCTTCAGGTCGATATCGCACTACCGACACACACATACAAACATACAACACGTGGTGATGTGTTCCTGACCGATATTTATATTTATTTAGAAAAAACACACTAACAACATACATATTAAAACATTTATAATATATACAGTTAGAAGACAATAATAATTAATTAATCAGATATGTATGTCTTGACAAGTATACATAACATTCGATGTAATTACATAATCAAAAGTATAAAATTATAATAAACCTCTAATATATAATCTCAATGAGACAAGCCAACTGAGGGAGATGTTATAGTGCTTGTACTTGCAGACAAGTGCACTCTCCATTCAATAGGTCTGAGAATAGGACGTAAACTATTTTCATCATCATATCCCTAAGTGATAAGGGTGGTCCACAACAAAAAAATCTTTTTTTTTGGACAAAAGTTTATATTTTAATTGTTTTATAACTCGGCATTAAAAATACATACAAATCTAAATTTCAGCAGAGATAAGCCCGAGCGAAGCGAAGGTGAGTCACTAGTATATTATATATATCTAATATATAAAATTTCCATGTCACAATGTAGTTACCGTACTCCTCCGAAACGGCTTTACCGATTTTTACCAAATATTATATGCGTAGAATCGGCTACTATCTATTTTCCATACCCCTAAGTGATAAGGATAAGGGAGGTCCTCCCAGACCCCACCCCAGGGACGAACCCGAGCGGAGCGAGGGTGAGTCGCTAGTATATATTCACACATAACTTTAGAATGATTGAATTGAATGTGCTTTAAACATTGTGAGTCTTGGTTAAATACTTAATAAAAAGTATAGCTACAAAATATTTAATAAAATACATTGCAATTCATTATATGCACATGCATTCATAATATAATATGTTAAAGGTGAGACTTTACTGCTGCGATAGATAGATGGTCGATTGTCATCTATACAAATATTATGAATGTGAAAGTTTAGATGTTTGGATGTTTGTATCACGCCAGAAGGGCTGAAAATTTCTAACTTCCTTAAATAACATACAAACGTTATACGAGTATATATTTTGTTTGTTTTCTTTTTTGTCACACAATGTATCTCCAGAGAGATTTATGTTTAAATATATATATTTTTTATTGTTAGTAAATTTATATATCAACGGTATTTTATAATAATTTTTCTTTGCTTTCCACGTACCACTCCCACATAAGCGGGGGTCGTGTTAGCCTACCTGATGTCTTTTGAGCATGTCGAGGCCCAGCAGCATGTCCATAGGCTGCTCCTCCAGCACGGAGAAGGAGGTGGTGAGGAAGTCCTTCTCTATGCGCATCTGCACCATGTGGATGCGCCCTATGATCCTTTGCACGCCCACACCCTTGGCTATACCCGCCCATCTGTCGGACACCAATACATTTATATCTTATGTAAAAAACTAGCAGAACCCGCGGCTACGCCCACGTTCAATCTACAAAAAAAACCTTTGGATTTATGTATGTATATAATATTGTTTATACAAAAACGTAGTAAAATCGCTATGAAAAAATGGGGGACGCTGTCACAAGAGATATTTAGATATACATATACTAGATGGGCAGACGAGGAAGTCCACCTGCTGGTAAGTGGCTATCATGACTCATATACATTTGCAACATAAGAGATGTTGCGAATATGTTAGCGGCTTGTATGGACACGACATGTCTTTAACGCGACTCTTGAAGAGCTCTATATTATAGCGTCAGGGAAAACTTTTCAACACCTGCTCGGCCTCGGACCAACTTTTTAACTCAATATTGGTGCAATTTTGAATATTTGCATGGGTGAGAAGTGAATTTTTATTTCTTTATTGATATTGAAGACACGTTTGGCTCAGTTTGTAGTGACCATACTTGCTGTGCCAGCGGTCGCGGGTTCGAGTCCCGCTGGGGGCATTCATTTGTGTGATGAGCACAAATGTTTGTACTTCAGTCATGGGTGTTTATATTTGTAATGTGTATGTATTCAACCATCTGGTATCCATAACACAAGCTTTGTGCTTACCATGGCTAGATGGTACTGTGTTAATGTCCCAACATATTTATTTATTTATCATTTATTTATAATAACTTCAATACTGAATTACAAAATCGATTGCAAGTATCGATATATTTAATGACAATAAAGGTATGTTTAATTACAAATTAAATTATTGAAGACTCTTTAAAGTAATTTAAATCAAAATATTTTACAAGTTTTTTAAAGCTATTACCTACTATAATTTTTCATTTTATACAACAAAAAAATAAGCGTGCGTTTCAATTTAAATTATAAAGTGGCAATTTATATTTAGTTACTCAATTTTAAGGTCATAACGTGATAGAAAAATATTTACACTACACGAGTAGGAATTTCGACGCTAACAATAAAGATGCATACTTTCTAACCACATATTTGTGTAATGAAGCAAAAACGTAAGGAAAAATGTTTGGACATTCCACAAACAGTTCCGACAAAACAAATTGTATTTGCCAGATATTTATTATGTATTGAAACCTAGCTAGGTTGGGAAGTAATAATAGCACTAGTTACCTGGTGTCCACCAGTCGCATGATGTTACATCTCTCCGCACAAGCCGCTGACATTATCGTAGTTTGTGCTCCGGAATCTATAAATGCTTTAACTGGGAACCTGAAATATCATTTTCTTAAACTTTGTCACTTATACAAAATGTATTGTACACTAAATAATAAGATTGGAAATGCATTATTGTTAATAATGTGTACGTAATATAGATAGTATTATTAAGAGTTTTTGTATAAAGTGACAATACAAGCATGAAATAGTTATTAAAACCGGCGAAGTGCAAGTCGAACTCGAGCACGAAGGGTTCCTTATCTGGATACCATTATCTATAAAAATGGCAAAAACATCATGTCTGTTGTATGGGAGCCCCATTTAAATATTTGTTTTAATTTAATTACTTATTTTTAAAGTGACTATATAACTAAATATTCTGTGAATATTTCAAGCGTCTACCTGTTGTATTTATCAATATGGAACAAAAACGAGCAATAAAATCACGTTTGTTGTATGGGAGACGCCTTAAATGTTTATTTTATTCTACTTTTTTAGTACTTGTTGTTATAGCGGCAACAGAAATACATCATCTGTGAAAATTTCAACTGTCTAACTATCTCGGTTCCTGAGATACAGTATGGTGACAGACGTCCAGACGGACAGACACAAGGACGGACAGCGGAGTCTTAGTACTAGGATCCCGTTTTACCTTTGGGTATGGAACCCCAAAATATGATGGTGCAAATAATATTAAATAAGTAATTTAAAAAAAAACAGTTCAGACAATCTGCTTTATATATTGTATAAATATAAATTGTATATCTGTAGTATCTACATACATTTATTATCTATCTTCTGTTAACAATATTATAAAAGGAAAATATTGGTTTTAATTGTAATGGCTGATTTAACTTTAATCAAACAAAAGTCATTCATAGTATAACTAAAAAGCCAAAGAGATATAAAATTACAGTTGTATCAACAGAATATTGATTTTTTTTTTACTTTTACATTCAATGGTTAGATCAGGGTTAATTGATGAATCAGTCATTAACAAAGCATACTACAAGTGAAAATGTTACCCATTAACATGACAATTAATGTAGAGCATGACCACTGTGCCAAATGTCTCGGGATTGAACTCCATAGCAGCTTCCATATTAGCTTCAATATTTTTCTGCCTAATTTCTTCAGCTATCATGCGCTGAGCCTCAGTGTCAAATGGATCCGAGTTCATCATTCTATTTAAAATATAAATACATTTATAAAGTATATTATATTAAATAAACTAGTGTCTCACCCTCGCCTCACTTGGGTTCATCCCTAGGCGAAGTTTACAATTATTACAGAATAGATAGACTATAATATTATATACATAGGTGTGATGAGTTGTTGTGAGTTGTATAATGTGTTTTCCCATGGGAATAAGATGTTCTCTTGTGGTAAAAAGTAGCCCATGTCACTCTCCAGCCCTCCAAATGTCTCCACACAAAAAATCACACCAATATGTCACTCTGTTTCGATGTGAAAGAAGGACAAACAAACAAACACGCTTTCACATTTATATATTTATCATCATTCAACTAGCGACTCACCCTCGGTCGCTCAGGTTTATCTCTAGCTTGAATCCCAATACAAGCTTTCGTCCCTATTTTAACCCCTTTAAGGGATGATTTCCAGAATAAATAGTATCCTATGTTCTTACCAGGGTCTCAAACTATCTTCTTACCAAATTTCATCTAAATCGATTTAGTAGATCCAGAGATTACCCCCTACAATGTCACAAACTCACAAACTTTACCTCTTTATAATAGAGATAGATAAAGCAAAGATTTAAAATAAACAAAAGAGAAATGTCCATTATAGCTAATTATAACCACTTATTTTGTAAATGCTCTTTGTTACATTGATCAGTCCAATATGAAGTAAAGGTCATGGAATCTAGAAAAGCATTTTCCAGTATGTTTAAGTATATATTTTTCTCTGAACAACAGCATTTTAATTTATAATTTAACAAATCACAAACCATGTCATACCATACATTTAATCTCTAAGCTCTTCATGGGTAAATGATATGAATAAATTTAAGTATTTTTGAATTTCAATTTTTATTAAAAATACTAAATTAAATACCTATGTAAAAAACATAACACATATTTTGATGATATGTCTACAAAAGCTGTTCAAATTTAATACAACATGCGATTCTAAAATTTATTTTGTAATCAAGATAGTAAATATAAATTAAATTATTGCTGTTGCACTGTTGTAATTAATTTGTCTAGAGCTACATACCTTATTCTTTGTTGTTGTCTTTCTGTCCTAGCTGTGATTTGTTCTCTCAGTACACCAGCAAATGTATCTGTAGAAAACATTAATTTGAAATTATAATGCCAAGAATAAGAATGTAATGTATGAGTGACTCGAGCACCTTCATGCATGAATAAATCACACTTTCAATGTCACTAACCCAGATTACCGCTCAGCAGAGCATCTGCCAATCTGGGATTGTTCTGTTTGAGTAAAGCTAACTGGTCTGGGTTTGCTAAGAACATTTCTCTGATAATACGAGGGTCTTCTTCCACTGGTGCATTTCTTGTGGCCATTGAAGAACTTGCTCCTTGAGGCACCTGTATGCTGCTAAAGTCGAGATTCGCCCATCCACTTGGCAAAGCTTAAAAGAAACCAAAGATTTTTCAATTTTTTTATTTATAAATTTTTTTGACAACACTAACTGACAATTTATAGTTTTTAACTTTTTTTATATTATAACGATTTCTAGTACACCTGTCCAGATAATATGAAAACAAATAAGTGATCGATGTCATCGATGACAACAAAAAAGAATGACAATGCAGTTTTAAATAAACAATGTAAACTTAGCTAATGTTGCGTACAGATAGAGTTACCTTGTCGGGCATCATTTGCGTTCATTGTAGAGGCCCGCTGCACCATACGAAGCATCACAATAACATCTCCATCGTGTACTCCAAGTTCCTTAAGCGATTTCTTATCGTTCATCATTGGCTTCCCATTGAAAGTCAACGTGATGTCTGTGGCGGGAAAACCGGATTCTATTTCACAGAAGGCTTTGAAATTCTCTAATTCCAAATCTTCAGAAACATCGAGGACGAATATTTCGTCGTTGAGTGTAGTAACTGTAACTTTCATCGTGGATATTGATGATGCACAGAGACGAAACGTAGTGTTTGCTGAATTCAGGTACGAGTTATTTATATATAGAGGATGACTGTCAAAAACATTGCTTCTGTGTGGACGTGATTCGGAGAAAATTCCGGTTCCTTTTTGATAAACCACGCACAAAATAAAACTTTAGATTAGTTCCCTGAAATGAGTACACCGAACTTCGTGAAGGTGGCAGCTAACTACTAGGGATGTACTCGAGGACTGAAATGCGTGCTAGTTGCTACAACTTGGTCCGGCACAACTTTTAATTAGTCGTCTTAAAAATATTTTATTTTATAAATAGTATTCAGCCAAAACAATTTTACAATAAAAATAGATATGCATATTATTTTTAAATGAAAGTTGACAATGTGAACGAATAACAATACCGTAAATTGACGTTTATTTACGATTAATACATCACTCGCAAACGTTATGCACATCACTATTAAAAAAAAAAAGGAAATGAGAGGAAATTCTAGGAAAACCTTTGTTATTCATTTTCTTTGTAGCTAGGTAGCTTTAGTAATTAAAGCTTTTCAGTTCAATTCTAGCCGTGTAACGATGCATTCCTCTTAAAAATTCTCGCAACTCGAGTGATATCCTTAGTGAGTAGGTCAAAGTACTTCAGTTATTTTAGTTTACGATGTGAATTCGACTGACGTATAATGGTAAGTGATTTATATATTATGTATTTACTATTTGATCAACATAATATTGACCGGGCATTGTCTGGCGGCTTGGTTGTTTTATTTAGTTCGGTGTCTTATGAATTTATTGGAGTTCAGTGAACGTAATTAACTGTGTTTAACAAAACTGGTTGAAGTCAAAGTGCGATCCTGATTTTTGTGATAAGCTCGTTTAAAGTTTTAGTTCCACTTTTATTATTATGAAAAACTACTGAAAACAACAGGCATACATTGCAAAGTTTACTTTTTAATCTTATGTTATTATGGCAACAGTATTTGTTATGATTGCCATATATTGCCTGGGTCATGACACTGAAAGTGATATAAACAACAGTGTTCAATGCTTATTTTTTCTTTAAAAAATCATTTGATCCCAAGTAGAATTACTCATTAACACTACTAAATTAAACATAAGAAAGAACTTTCTTTTAAGATGCTAAGACATATTTCAAAATTTAAGCATTTATTGTATCACACTATAAATTTTTGTTTATAATTTAGATTTGCTATAGGTAAGTCATAAAGCAGACAAATTTGATATGTAATAAAAAAATTTACAAAACATAAGGGAACAAAGCAAATGTATAACATATTGAATAGCAATATTATATATCTTGTTAAAATATTTAATAATATAAATAACATAACTTGAGAGTGAGAAGTTCCATAACAAATTAATACCAATGTACAAGTTTAACCCACACATCATTTTTAGCCGACTGTGCTATGCAAAGGAGGGTAATGTGTTTTTATTTCTCGGTCTATTTTTCTGTGTGTCTATTTGTATGGGCTAATCTCAGAAACTGTTGGACCGATTTAAATTAAATTTTGCATGGTGGTACCTTACATCCCTGGTCAACATTTTAGAAATAAAAAAATATATTATTAAAAGTTTTTGAAGGAATAAAGTATTATGCAGTCGAGGATGAATCCTTACAGCAAGATGTATGCACATGTCTCCGACTGCATAATACTATATTCTTTCGTCAACTTGTTTTCATCTTTTTAGTTAGCTTTTATGCAGTTGGTTTTTTTATTTTTATAATATTTCACAATGCAAAGTATCTGTTGAGTTAGGTGTCAGTTGTTCATGAAGTTAATTTCACATTTTTTTATATATGAACAGAGGCCATTATTACTAAAATGCATATTGTTTATTATGCTCTGACCATGAACATTGTTAAAGGTTGAGGATTTTTTTATTAAATTTATTGTGGCGATTTTTGTTAACAAAGCTTTTGAAGGTTATGTAATATAACTTACAATTTTGTAAATGAAATTTGTTTATTACTTAAAACTTTAAAACCTCTATTTCTTTCAGAAATTTGTAAAAGTATTAATTAATGTTATTGATTACTATAATTATAATGGATTCAAAAGGATATCAAAAACTTTATAAAATCCACGAAGATCTGCTTTTACTGCATTCATACAATCTGGTTACAATATGTTGTTATGGTTGTGGAAGGGCTTACTTACTACTTAATATTGTCATCTTTTATTAAAAAGTAAAGCAACTTATGTTTCAATTACAATAACAAAATGATTCATGGAACCTATTTTTTTTTGTGAGTATATCACACTAGTACAGATGCCTCATTCCATACAACGAAATTGGACAGCGCTAATTCAGGCTATTTTTCTTTGCTTGAATAGATATATAATAATAGATGTTGTTGATTCATAAATAGTTAAACAGTATTATTTTACAAATATGTGTAAACTAACGTATGGTAAATATTGTAAAATTCATCCTGCATTCAAATAAAGAAAAATTAGGGGTTTTAACAATTTTTAACTGTGACAAACAATTCATAAAAAGTAAAAGCGCCATCTGTGAATATAACTAAAAATATCTGATTACGTATCTATTCTAAATTAAAACCTCCGTTTAGTTATTTTATACGTTTTAGTGCCTGGAAGTCGGTTTTTTTTAAGTTTTTTTTATAATATAGGACATTCTATTACAATGTAAGAAATGATCTATATTATCATTCAGTTTAGTTCATGGTCACAAAACAATTGAAACTACCTCTGTAATGTCGGCCACATAGCTGGCCATATGCCCAGATAGAGTTTCATGTAGATAAATATCGCTTATGTAAATAGCATCATTTTTTTACTTCAGACTATTTAACTGTTACATTGGAGAAGTTCCATTAAAATTTGTCCAGTCGCTCTTAAGTGTTACTGAAACAACAAGTTTACCCTTGGATAAAAGTAACACATGTCTGTTTCCATCGCCAGGAAGCACTGTAAAGCAGTCAAGGGCGTACAATGTCCTCAGTGGGCCAGCTCGTGCCGCAGGTGACGCGGCCACCAAACATGAGCATTAAGATCAATGGACCCCACATTGAGGGCTCCTTCTGCTCGCTTATAAACTACAGCTATGACCCCATCATCAGCATCATATGTGCCATGTACATAGTGTTTGGTATCGTCTACACGCTTTTTGGTAAGTTAATTGAATATATATATAAAGAATTATTTGCTACTTTTTTACCACTTTTGTGTCCTTCACGAGTTTTTTGCACTAAGCCTGATAACTGCTGGAGTTTGTCAACGTCAATTTTCAGATCCTAAACAGTACAATAAATTACGTTGTATGATAGAAATACGAACAAAAAGACAACCTGTTGAGTACAGTTGTTAAGTGTATTTTTTTTTATATTATACATTAAAAATGATAATACAACGACCATGTGCAATATGCTCGATGCCTAACATATATTGTAGATATGAATCGATTTCATATCTACTATGTTAAAAAACTCTATGTATGTAGTATATTTACTTCGATGATCGATTATGAACGTTAGAAAAATGTTTCTTACAATTTTATTTTTAGTTATTTTTATTATTTGTTGTTATAACGGCAATAGAAATAAATACTCTGTGAAAATTTCAACTCTCTACCTACAACCGTTCATGAGATACAGTCCTCTGACACATGGACGGACGGACAGCGGAGGCTTTTAATGGTTCTACTGGCACCCTTCGGACACGGAACCCTAAAAAGATCAAAATAAATATATTGACTTTAATAGTAACGACCGTCTGTGACTCGGCGGTTGACGACCGATGTCTGTTATGTCTCTGACCGAAACAGCTTAAAAGATCGCAGACTACTTGTTCGCTTCCCAAACCATATACATACATACATATATTGATCTGACGAAAGATGAAAAGAATCGCTGTGAGTTTGAAAATTGGTTCCTGGTGTCTGTTCAGGATAAATAAAAATAAATTTAAAGAAACATAGTTAATCTGAACTACTTAATTACAACAATAAATGACAACAAATATTCTTTTAGGGTACCGATGTTTTAAAGCGAGTATGTTTTTAACTGGCTTCACTTTCGGTTCGGCTATCGTCTACCTCATCTGCCTTCAGGAATATCTGATGCCGCCGTATGGCAACGTTGGTAAGTATTTCTTTAAATCTACCCTTGAAATGTCGGAGATTTTTTAGTTTCAGGGACGTGTTTTTAAAGAATTGTTAGAATATGAATTACAGTGTACTTGATCACTTATTTTAATAAAGTCTTTAATTTTCTTTATTAATTCTTAAATATTTCTATGTGCTTTAAGTAATATTAGATTTGTTAAAGTTGTTCGTTTTTAGAATCGGTTATTTTTTTTTAAATAACTCGACATGAGCCGTCGGGTTTTCTGTTTAATGGAGAATGTAGCTCCTTTATTTGGTTCAAACCACCGCCGATCCATTTTGTTGAGTTTTGCATGACGAATGTTTGAAGTTTTAAACGAGGTAAATCTGTCTCCCGACATGAATGACTTCATCACAAAGTGTTCCAAACAGTATATGTATAATTAAACGTTGGAAAGCAACTTGTCCGATTTTGGTATTAGAATCACTAAAAGTTTTTTGCTTCTGTAAGTTTTTGCTTGGTGATTTCTAGTTCTTGATTTTACTACATTTCGGGCATTAAACGAAATGGAGTTCGTTGATTAACATGGTAATTAGGGTGATTCATTTCCGCCAAAAAAAAAATTCCTCGGTGCACAAGCAAAATATTAATCTACATATTGAAAATAAAAAATCTCACCAAATTTGAACTCTTAATATCAATTTTAAGTACTTACTATTTGATAAGATTTTTTTATATGTAGATTAATATTTTGCTTGAGCACAGAGAAAAAAAATTTTTTAGGGGAAATGAATCACCCTAATAGTAACATTTAATACTAGCGACTCACCCTCGCTTCGCTCGGGTTCGTCCCTAGCTTGCTTCTCAAAATAAAAATAATTAAATTTAATTCTTCTCAATACAAACTTTCATCCCCTTTTAATTCCGACCATTTTCACCCCCTTAAGGGATGATTTCTGGGACAAAAAGTAATAGGATACTTTTTGTCCCAGAAATCCTTCTCCTTCCCAGATCTCAAAGTATCTTCTTACCAAATTTCATTTAAATCGGTTCTGTAAATCAGAGATTACCCCCTACAACGTCACAAATTCACAATCTCGTAAACGAACAAACTTTACCTCTTTATAAAATTAGTATAGAATTACTTATTTTTTTAATATTTACTTACTTTAAAGTAAAACAAACTAAAAGCGGTCCAACGCTTTGATTTTATCGTATTCATTAATAAAAAAACTTATTTTAATTACAAGCTTTTATTTAGTTTCACTTGTCGGAGGTTGTGCAATGGAATCCTTCAAGTAAATTTTGACCCACTTCCCAGTGTCCGATTGAGCTGAATATTTGGCACACTAGTTTGATTCCCGAGATAATGCATGATTACCTAAATGCTCCCATTTTTAATCCAATATGGCGAACGTAACAATTTGGGTATTTATCATTTCCATAGTGACCCTTATGATATGGACATCAAATGAAAGGGCTTGATGAGTGAAACACAATAAGCAACGTAACGTAATTGTAAATCCAATATGGCGGCTGCCGCCAAAAAGCGATTTATAATTTCCACATTAACCTCTATGATGTGGGTATCAAATAAAAAAAAATTGATAAGCGAATTACGATGATTAGTGGGACGTCATTGTAAATCCAATATGGAGGACGTCGCAAAATGACGATTTTTCATTACAAACATTAAATAGTTTGACCTATCCCTGTGTGAATTTGACTAAACGTCATTCTTAATCTAATATAGCGGACTCTTAAAGATGGCAGACTATGTTTTTTTATGCGCCCCATGATATGGATACCTTTGTACCTCGTATTACAATTGCCTCGTAAAGCCGTCGGTCTGACCTCTCACAGGTCGTATCTATTGTTGATTCATCAGACTTTTTAGAGAGCTCTCACTCACTTTGTGTTAGCGAGATGGGCCGAAATTGGTCCGGGAGACATTTTTATTATATTTTGTGACGTGACCTTCGATACACGGGTTCGATTGATCTATTGATTATTGTTAATTTAAATTACGGCCTTATTGCTGCAAATATTTACGATTAATTTGCAATACGAAATATAGAGGACGGCACACAAGTATAATATTTTAAAGTGTGATATTGTCGGTCAGGCGTCGCGATCTGTGCGGGGCTGCTCTTCGGCCTTATCACGATGCTGATCCAGTACGTGGGGCTGTTTATGACCGGCTTCCACACCGGCCTGCTGCTCGCCATCGCCGGACTCGCCATATACGACCACTTCCTTGAAGCCCGCCCCAACACGGTAAGCGGAAGTATATAGTTGTTTATAGTTGTTTTTGAACTTACTCCACTGTACGTTTTCCTGGAATTGTATTATTATTATTATAAATGTCAATGTTTCGTCGAGTTTCCAGGATGTACGTCAACGGTACGAGACTAGTGAAATATTGTATAATACTCGTATGTGTGAATTAAACGTTTTCTAAAGAACGCAGCTATTAAGCGAGAATAAAACTTTCCATAATTAGTCCAGATATTTGGATTTTACCAGACAAGTTTTCTGGGAGTTTTGGAAATTGGTGATATTATAGATTATATGGTCAGGGGGATGTAAGAAGAGAAATGAACAAAACCAGATTTTTTTCAATGTTATGTTTATCTGTCTGTTTGTCTGTTTGTACGGGCTAATCTCCGAAACAGTTGGACCGATTTAAATTTAATTTTGCATGGTGGTACCTTATATCTCCGGTCAACATTTTAGATACTTTTGATCCTGGAAAATTAAAGAGTTCTCGTGGGATAGTTAAAAAACAATAGTAACTTATACAGCTTTTTACACAAAAACTACTGATTGTATTTTAATGAAATTTTACAATAATATAGTCCATACATCAGAATAATAAATAGGCTACTTTTTATCCCGGAAAAAAGTACGGTTCCTGTGGGATAGATTTGGTTTTGTTAGTCTAGAGGCGCTAGTTTACTATAAATTATAATATCCTACACGTCCATTTTTTAAAGTGTCTGAATACCATATTTAATACTTAGCTTAATTCGTCAAATTATATTGTTGACTATCAGAGAATAATAAACATAAAAAACCAAATATTTTTCTAATTTAGAACATTCACACATTTTTAATAAAAAGTTTTCATTTTTATGAAAATATTAAGATAACTCATTTCACGTAATCATTAAATCATATTTCATACAAATGAGTAGCTTGACATCATTTTTATTTATTAAACAAACTAAGTTTAGAAAACTAAATTCAATTATAGAACGCAAATTAATGCCGTAATGGCTAATAGATGTCACCGAAACTAACAAATATGTAAAGTACGCACATTTCACAAACAAACATAGCATAAAATGTCTATATTACGTTAAAATCAAGTTAAAACTCTATAAAACAAAAAATCAAATAAACAATGCACAATTCGCCATATAATTTATTTTATTTCATTCAAACAATAACATTGCTCAGCTCGCTTGTCATTGGTCAATTAGTGACGTTTTGTAATTTCAAACCAATTTACAAGCAGAATAAGACGTTCAGAAACGGCTTTTCGAGCAACAAGAGTTTGATTTATGCGCATGTTACGCATCAAATCAAATTTTTGTGATGAATGCTAAAAATGAATGACGCCACGTGACAATGTCCAATCTAAAAATATTAATGAAACACAATTTAGTATGACCATGGTAAGCTAAAATAAAACGTCTTATCGTCGCATTTCTATGAAGAAAATACTAATCGATTTGCAGCGAATATATACCTACATTTTTGCGCTCTGAGCGTGATTATGGATTTTTTGAAGCTTATGATTTTTTGTAGGCGTTAGTTATATTTATTTCAGAATACTTATACTATACTTGACGTAGTAATAATAAGTGGATTTTTGTTAATAATTATTAATTATGTGTATTATTAATATTGAATTATCAAAAAATAAATATTTATAATCAATGATGGATTATTGGATCTGTAAAAATTAAGACGGTGTGAATCGTCTTGTATGGACCCTTCGCAACTGGTACTTACTCGCTGTACACGAATAATCTTTGTAAAAATTTTTATCGGAATGAAATTTTTACATAATATTTATGCGGAAATTGTATTTAAAGGGTTAAGGAGGATAGGGTTGGAAGGTAATAGCAGTATTGACAACAGTCATTAGAATTTTCTTTCTTTTATATCTAATGGGAGTATTAACTGCTTAACAGCTTATTATATTATATAGATAAATCTTACATTTTGACAAAACTGTAATTATTTTCAATATTGTTGTCATGATGAAGAAACTGAACAACTGAACGTCAATCTGTCAAATCACTGTTTTATTTTTTAACCCAAATTTTTGACTGTTTCGTACAATTTTTCGAATATATATTTCTTTCACCCAAACCTAGTCCTGACAATTACAAACACAACCAAAAAGAATTAGCCAAATAATAATTCGCTTACATATATTTGACAATTGATTTTTATTTATAAAGATTATCTCAACAATATTTCTAACTTCAACAATTTTCTATATAAAAAAATGATATATTTTATACGCCCGATCTAGAACCTCCCATCCCCCGTGCTTTCACGTAAAGCATAAATTAAATAAATAAAGCTTACTTACGCGCGCATTACTTCCAATTAAATCTAAAAATATCTTAATAACAACATTTCTTCATTCAAGGTATTAATAGTACTTAATTAGGCAACATATCTAAATAATAAAATAATGAGAAGGATGATCTCCTTTAATTTTCATTTTCGAAAAAATCTTTAACAATGGGTACTTTAGTATTATTTGGAATAACATATAGTTATTTTGTATTTGAATTTTTGTTATCGCGTTTTTTCTTTTTAGATATTCTAAAAAGATATAAGCAATAATTTCCTATCAATTTCCATGCAGCGTGTGTACCTACTGTTGTTACACAGGAGATAGTATCTGGCTTCGTCGGGGGCACCAGCGTCTAGTGTTTCTGTCTGTTGCGCTATGTGCTATTTGTGATATCAAAAATAAATAATACCCAACAAATTCATCGACTATTTCACTGTAGACAAGTTGATATGCAAATTGAATATAGGAATACTCGAGAGTTATCATATATTTCTACAATATACAAACGTTTTGATTTACTAAACATACTCGTGGCAACTTCTCGATAAAGATATTAAAAATTCAATGGTATTCGTTTCGTATCGCTTGAGACAAAGTAACGAGGTATAAAATGTAAAAAAATAATTCGAAGAGTTGTAAGAAAAATATATCAGAAATTAGATTATTTTGATATTTTCGAATATGATAGAAAAGGTTAGGTACAACAGCAGGATATGAGAGCTTCCTGAGCTTTATAACTTAGATTTATACACTTACGGATGACTTATGATGAGAGGACTGAGTCAGAGCTAAATCCCGGGACACGGCCGGCTAATAAGATGAACGTTGAATTATTTAAAGGGTGCTTAATGGAGAAAATAATTTAATTACTGTATCTATCTCTATTTTATAAGTGGATCATAAACATCTTTCATTCTACCGCAAAACAGAGCGATCGATGCTGCCAGACCGGTGGAGCACTAACCTTACATTTTTACACATGTTTAGTTATGTATCTATAAAATACATATTTCAATTCTTCGAAGAAGGTATTATGTGCTCGTTCGTGTCTGTGGTTGTGTTATCCTAACCAATTATTTCGATCTACGACACTCGGAGAACGCTGTTAGTGAACTCAGAACTAGGTTTAGTGAACGACGTCTAGACAACTGAGATGGTCCATTTTCTAATACTAGCTTATATTTCGAGCAGTTAGACATTAACTTTCATTGACTCGCGAAGATCAAACGCTTTAAATCTATCATAATGTATGAAACACGATGTTTACACAACTTGGAGCCGTTTCTACAGGTTTATTGATGAATATTTTATGAAAAAATCATAGACGGTTGCTGGGATTATAAAGTATGCAGACTCGTTAAGTTTCTCACATATTAGAAAAGGGGATCGGTCTCCACCGCTTTTTCGCTGAGAACGTAAGAAAAGCTTTATGTAATAAATATTTTAAAAGCAGAAGGTTCACCTGCATTGCGTGCTATTCCAATTTGAGGGACGGCATGGATGTTCTTCGCCTATTATGGTGTCTATTAATTTTCCATGACAATTATACGTTCGACTCACACATCTACATACAAGCGGAACCTGAAAGATGATTCCGAGGATTTAACCGCGCCATTAGAGTAATTGATGTGCATAAGAAAAAGTGATTAATATTGAATTATTAGGAATGCCGTGAGTGATAATGGAAATATTTTGGCTCGCGCTGCGGCACAAGCGAAGATATTGCGCGGTCAGCCGCGCTCAGCCTTGACCCCGATGCAGAACCAGCTCGGTGTTTATCATTGCTAAATAACACCCGTGTTTCGCCCTATTCAAAAAAACAGCACAACAAATGAAAACGCGACCGTTTTTCGTGTCTAGTTTTATGTAGGGTGTTACGTGAGTTACTGAGTAAAAACCGATGCGGACGCGCATTCAAGTAGTTTAATAAAAACATTGCTCATTCGCAACTCGCAAATAGTTTTTACTAAACGGTTTTATTTAGCTTCCCTGTATGTTTTTGGGTCAAATTTAGTAATTGAAATTTTACTTAGACTGATTATTATTTGGAACCCAACTTTAGTTTTGATGACAATACAATCGAATATATTCGGTGTCGTTGTAGGTCCAAGATAGAGGAGAGTGGTATGTTGACTGGTACCTAGGACCTACCTAATTATTTTTTAGCTTTTAGTACATTATCTATCATCATTATTATATGTACCTATGTATTTTTTCAATAAAACCGTTTAACTTAAATAAAATTAAGTATTTTATTATAATAAAATAGTTAATTTTTTTTAACTATATATACTATTTAAATATTTCCTTCCCAAGGAGGGTTGACGTCAGGCAGGCGGCCGGTCGTAAAACTTTTGCCAAATCCTATCAGCAGTACACTGAAGATGTACTGCGCCGACCCCAAGTGATTTGGGAAATGGGCAGGGAGAAGAAGAAGACTATTTATATATTATTTATATTATAACATTTATTTATGATGCGGTTTATGAACCTGTCAAACAAAAAAACAACGATTTCATGCTTCACATATTAGATATTTAATTATTTATCGTTGCTTTAATCTATAAAAAGATTTCAACATTACTCGACACTCGTATATAGTCTTTCCGCTTCCGGCCCGGGTCGTTGGAGCATGGATATGAGAATTTTTAAGTTACGAGTTTGATGAGGTCGTAGC